CTAAGTAGATCCTTAATCTTTCCTGATCAATAGAAGATGGTTTAAATTCTAAGCTGGAAATTTGAAAGAATTTTTTGCACGTGCTAATTAAACTCCACTTGGGTTTTTTTCTTCTATTCCTTGAAAACACTAACAACTTTTCTCTCTTGTGTAGATCAGCCCCTTGTCCCAGTCATCACTTACTAGGAAAAAAGTGGCAGTGCCAAAGGGAGGGAGAGTCATTACAAGATGACAAGCCACCCCAGGCTCGCAGAGTAGGACAGAGACTTGATGTTTTTCCTGTAAACCAAAGGTAGAAATAAATGTTATGAGCTATTGGAACCCAGGGGCGTTTTCTGAGTGTGGGCATTTTGGGCAGGACCAAATATCAAGGACCGTTTGGTCTGGACCAGATATGCTTTGAGATTTTATTTTATTTTATTTTATTTTATTTTATTTTATTTTATTTTATTTTATTTTATTTTTTTGCACCTGAGAACTTTTGTTTTTCATTGCTTGTAGAGAGAGAGGAAGAAAGAGAGGGTTTGGAAAGAGGGGAAGGGAGAGAGAGAGGTGTTGCGCTGCGCAGTGGCTAGATGGGGCACGCCGCCTCGGGGGAGCGCCACTCGGGTCACTGCTTGTCCCCGGTCGGTGGCAACTGCCATGTTGAGGGGACGGCACTTGCCGCGGGGAGGGCAGTGCTCCCTGAATCTGAAGGAAACCACCTGGGGCCAGCTGAGATGGGAGCAGGGCTCTGAATTCCGCAGAGCTCGACCCAAAGTTGTCATGGATGAAGGGAATAAACACAAATCGTTGCAAACACTTCTCTATTTGCTGGGAGAGCGGATGTGGTCACTTCCCTCTTAGTGGATAAGCCCCGTGGCACCTTCCTCTAGTGGGGAAGGCCCCGTCGCCTTTTGTTCCGAGGCTTTTATTGAAAAGGTTATCAGTGGGGCTAGGTAACAGGAATGCACAGGTTATCTCATTACATCAGTATGTTGATGTTCACGGAGAATAGGTGATGTTTTGAAGAAAACAAACGGCGAGAACACACTGCTCTACATGGGTCCAAGAGGAGACTAGTAAACAAGAGAGATGACTAAACAGGAGACAGTAGTAATCATAAGAGTGCACAAGAGTATAGGGTTAGTGTCTGTGAATAATGTAAATTTCCTTCCCAGCATGAACTGGCTAGAGCTTTTGAGGGAAGAACAAGGCACACTTTAAAGGAGTTACTTTTAGGCCTGATTTCCCTGGGAACCACCATATCTGATTTAGGGCCAGTTCCTGTATTGTTTCAAGCCTGAGCCAGGCAGGGGAAGGGAGCCGCCAAGAGACAAGGAGACTGCTTTCGGATAGAATGAGGACTCTGGCCATGCCCAGGCCGAGCCGAGAGGTGCGGGCCTTTTTGCCCTTTCTCCGTGTCCCCCAGTTTTTTGTCTGCTGCCAATATTCGGTTGGCATTTGTCTTAGGTTGTACCTCAGCTCGAGGTAACTTACCCGTCCTTGATTAACCAATCCCTCCATGACAAAGCAGAGAGGCAGGAGCTATGCCCCTGCCAGGGAGGACAGGATATGTCTCCTTAGGAGCCTGTTTTTCCAAGGCCTCCTGATTATTTCCAGCCTTGGGGCCCTCCAGCCTGTCAGTGGGGTTACAGTTCCTGAAACCAGATTAGGTGTTTCCCAACAGAGAGAAAGAGAACATTGATGTGAAAGAGAAATATGAATTGCTTGTCTTTTGTATACTCCCCAGTTGGGGACCGGGAATCAAACCCAAGACCCTTAATTGGCAGGAAGATGCCCAACCAGCTGAGCCACACAGGCCAGAGCTAGAGATGTTTTTGATAAGGCCAGCTTTCAAGGACCTTTTGGTGTAGGCCAATGTCTGCATGGACATTTTGGGCAAGACCAAATGTTCACTAATCTAGGATAAGAAGCTTTTTTTTTTTTTTTATACTGAAGGGAAAAACCAGGCTTTTCAACTCACTGCAGGGGATGGCTTTTAAAAAAATTATGTTAATAAGATACTGAGAATTATTTTGGCCAATGTTTATTGATTTAGCTCTCTCTAAGCAGGTATTGTAGGGAGCAAACTCCAAAGGAGAGAATTTGATAGGAATAAAACTTTTTTCTTCTTGTTTTCATTACAAATATAAAACTGGTAAGACTGACTTTATAGATATTTTCTCTTCACTTATAATAGAGGCTATATATAGTAGAATGGGTCAATATCCAAATGTACACATTTGGAAGCTATTAGCTTTTTCCCATTAAAAGTAACTTTCTTTAGGTCAGGGGTCCCCCACCTCTGGGCCGTGGACCGGTACTGGTCTGGGCCTGTTAGGAACCGGGCCTCACAGCAGGAGGTGAGCTTGAATGCACTGCACTTGAATCATCCCGGAATCATCGCCCCACCTCTAGTCCATGGAAACACTATCTTCCACTAACCAGTCTCTGGTGCCAAAAAGGTCGGGGACCGCTGCTTTAGATCATGTAATTTGTAAAAATGTGATGGACTTTTAGAAGATTATTATTTGTGACTCCACTTACTTTCTGAAAATGTAGTGATGAAGTGATGCTATCTAACTAATGTCTTGGATTGCTTAAAGACCAATGTATAGTAAACAAGTGTGTTAGCAAGAATGGATTATTAAAAACATTGATTTACTAACAATACTAGAATATTATTGGGTCAAATCTGCTAATGTTGGTATGTAAAGATTTTATGATTTCAGATCCGTGAAAGCTGGATACAGTTTTCATATCCTTTAGGGGAAACTATTAATTTCTGATTAGTACAGCACTTTAGAGAAAAGAATCAGTAGACATATTGTAAACTTAGAATGAAGCTTAGGAAGGAAACACGCTTAAATAATTTGCCCAAACGACCTCAGTACCTTGAATACGATTTTGCACCTGGGGTTGCATTCATACATTTACATGCCTTTCACCTCACCTAGACCCTGATCAATAAAAGAAGGAAAAGGGGATCTAGGTCCTGATCATCTCTGTATTTCTAGCCCAGTGTAGTTTCTAGCACGTCTCATAGATTTTCTCTAGATGAGGTCACAGGCCACCTGAGTCAAATTTCATCTGGGGAGTTTTTTTAAAAGTTCAGATTATCAGGACACACCCACAGATTTACTAAATACAAATCTCCAAGAGCTCCAATCTAAGATGATAGGTACGTGCAATGCCATTGATCACACAAGGATAGAAACCATGGCCTCCAGACCCTGTCCCACACACATTTGCTCATTTGCTGACATGCCCATTAGCTACTGGATGAACTTTTATTGGGCATCAACTAAGTGCCAGCTACTCTGGGTGCAAACATAAATGAGGCACATGAACAGTCAAAAGCAGAAACTGTTAGAAGATACGGTTTGAATCAGCCTTACCTAAGTAATTACCATAGGAATTTCAGTAAGCTACTTTATATCTCTAAGCTTGCTTCCTCTTTTTTTAAAATGGAAATAATACCTGTGTTATCAGACTGATGTTACTATTAAGTGCAATAATGCATATGAAGTGCTTTGCAAAGTGCTTACCATATAGTGTACTCTTTTTTTGTTTTGTTTTTATAATATCAATGAATTACCCTGTTATTAATGGTATTACATTAAGTGAAATAATATATTGTGGGCTTAATAACTGGGAAAAAAAAACATTAGAAAGGTGAAAGAGCCCTGGCTGGTGTGGCTCAGTGAATTGAGTACCTGCCTGTGAACCAGAGTGTCACTGGTTTGATTCCAGTCTAGGGCACATGCCTGGGTTGCAGGCCAGGTCCTCAGGAGGGGGCACGTAAGAGGCAACCACACATTGATGTTTCTCTCCCTCTCTTTCTCCTCCCTTTCTCCTCTATAGAATAAATAAATAATAAAATAAATAAAAAGGTGAAAGAAGAGTTTTATAATTTTCTTTTTTTGATTATCAATTGTATTTTACCTAAGATTTTTTAATTGTTAAAATTGTCTGTGGGAGGGTGGGATGGGCAGAGGAGGGCAAAGGGGAAAAACTGGAACAACTATAATATAGTGTGCCCTTAATAAATGTTAGCTTTTCTCCCCTCTAATTAATGAGTTTGCAGTCCAGGGAGGGCTAAATGTCTTGGCAAATAAGGAAAGCCTGGAAATAAGAAAGAGATTGTATGAGTCAGATTTTGTTTGATAACAAACTGCCCCAAAACTTGGTGACGTCACTTTTATTGACTCACCAAGTCAATAAACGTGGATGGCAGTTCAGGCTGAGCTTTGTTGAGATAGTTCATCTCTGTCCTGGATTCTGTCAGCTGGCGGTCAGTGGCTTCACCCACATACTGACTGGTGCGGAGACGGTAAGTGGGTCATGTGTACTCATGGTAGTGGCCACGGGGTTCTAGGGGGCAGTGGGCGTCCCATAAGCAAGCACAACTCAGGCCTCCGCTCGTGTCATGTTGACTAGTGTTTCGTTAGCAAAACAAAGCACATGGTCAACTCCAAATTCAGTGGCTACACAGACTCTACGACTTGGTGGGCTAGGGGATGTGCGTGCAGGGAAGGAGAGAATTCGTGGCTATTTCTGCAATCTTCATAGAAAGTGTTTTAATGACTTCTTACTCTGTATCAGGCTTTATGGTGAGTGACTTACATGATATTCATTTAATCCTCAACAATTTCTGACATGTGTGGTGTTCCATTTCAAAAAAGAGAAAACTGATGATCAGATAATTGAACAGATTAGTGTACATTTGGCCCAAATTACTTGCTTCAAGTTATGGCATGGCATTTTCAATGCTGTCTCTTGTTACTTAAATGATCAGATCAGCCCATGAGACAGAAGGAGTATCCTTTATTTAATAAAGATTTTTGATTAACATGGAGTTCCAAATACTAGTTTTATCTTCCCATTTATACCTTGAACCATTGGGCCATTATTTGGTATAGAAAACAGATTTTAATTTTACTATCCTTACTGTTCTTTAAGACTTTCCAGAAGCTTGTGAGGAGTGTTTTAGCAGGTTTTTTTGTTTGTTTTGCCAGATCACCCGCACAGCCTGGATCTCACTGCATTTTGGACATGACTGAGCCTTTTCAATGGGCCAGATATCACTGGCAGCGGCTGATGGGCAGTACAAATCGGGACGATGACGAGAGGCCATACAGCTACTCCTCGCTGCTTGCCTGTGGGGGCAAGTCCTCTCAGACCCCGAGACTGGCAGGAAGGCACCGGGTTGTTGTTCCCCACCTCCAGCCCTTCAAGGAAGAGTATGAAAAGTTCTGTGCAACCTACGTAAATAACCGAATACGAACAACAAAGTACACACTTCTGAATTTTGTGCCAAGAAATTTATTTGAACAATTTCACAGGTACTTGTAGTGTTTGAAAAATGTCTTAGATTTGTTGTCATTCCAGTTGGAATACAAGATTTTTCATTTCCGTAACATTGTACATTGCCTAAGGCTAAGACTTGTGATGTGATCTTTGACAATTCTGATAGGTTCTATTGTGGAATGATTACTGCTTACATTCACACAGCACTTTACAGTTGGTAAGATGCCCTCTCTTGACCAGAGAAGATATTGTTATCCTCATAATATGGATTAAGGTAACTAGGTTTGGCATTGTGGCATAGCCAGTGTCATGCCAGAGATGGGGAGCAGAGTGGCGGCTATCGCCTTGAGTTTACTCACTCTTGCTCATGTGCTCTTTCCATTAAACCATGGCGCATTTTAATATTTTCTTACTTGACTATATGGAGAGAGAGAGCTCTGAAACAAATGCAAATGTAAGATTTTCTTACATGAAACAACAATAAAATTCAGTTTAATGTGTATTTATTGACTCTCTCCTATGAATTAAGACACTGAAGGAAATGCAAGTCTAAATGGTGCTCCTTTTCTGCGAACTTTGCTGTTTAGCAAAGGAAATGAGATGGGTGTGCAAACAATGGAAAGACTTAGTGAGTGTGATGAATGTTGTAAAGTGTGGCTAAGTAGGATGGAATCCTCTGAAAGAAAAATACAGCGATAGCAGGAGAAGGGGGAGTGGCATTTGAACTTAATTATGGAGGGTGGGTGAGATACTCAGGCAGAGGTAACATTTCAGAGGGAAGAAAGAGTGCAAAAGAAGATTTTCTTGAGGCCTTGGAAGTAAACTTTCTGACTAACACAGTGAGAGACAAATCAAAGGCAACGAGAACATTTAGGACGACACTGTATGTATCCTGGTAAATTATAGTGGAGACCTGAATTTAGGTCAATGTGGGAATGAAAAAATAATCTGTTATAGAGACTATAGATTAAATAGGGGAAATTACTTAAGAAGATGAAGTGACCATGTTGAGCTGAGATCACCAGAAGGATTAACAGAAAAATTAAAGACAAATAAAGAAGGAGCTTGGCTAGATTATTTTGTTTTTGTAAATGTTGAGTTTAAGATGCTAACATGAATAGAGATTCTCAACATTCAGTATGTATTCTTGCCATTCACTCTATATGTGTTCCATTTGCATTTATTGAATAGTGGATGTGTTTAAAGTATAAATATTAATTTGTTGAATTAATGGCTTTAAATGCTATGGGTGGCTCTGACCAGTGTGGCTCAGTTGGTTGGGCATCATCCCACAAAGCAAAATCTTGCTGGTTCGATTCCTGGTCAGGGCACCTGCCTGGGTTGTGGGTTCTGTTCCAGTCAACGCATTCGGAAGGCAACAAGTCAATGTTTCTCTTTCACATAGATGTTTCTCCCCCTCTCTTTCTCTCTCTCATCGTCTCTCTCTAAAAATAAATAAATTCTAAAAAATGCTGTGGGTGTTTCTATCTTTTTTGGAGTTTGCAATCTAGTGCACTTGATGGAATTAGAATCTGAACCTTGAAGAGTTCAGGGATGGAGCTTTAGATTTGGATGCAGTCCACGTGGAAATGATTTAAGCCAAAAAAGTAGCAAAAAGGGTTAAGGAAGAGATTTTTAGAGTAAAGGAGTTCATGGTGAGGAAGGAGAGGTGTGTATAGATTAACGGGAAAAAAAACTTGATAAAAATTCAAGGAGCTATGCAGCATTGAGATTTCCTTTGTTTCTTTTTAAGAAAAGGGCCACTTAAATTCACCTGAGAGGTCAGTGGAGGAGTGTTTACATATGTAAAATGGAGTAAGGGAGAAAGTTCCTGAGAAAGTAATTTTGAATAGCAGAAATAGAAGGGTGGTCCAAGGGGGAAAACAATCCCTCAGGCTTGTCTGCTTATTTTGAGCCTTATTGAATGTAGTGTTTGGACACACAAATTGACTTCTGAAGGGTAGAAAATTGGGTTACTTAAAAATTTATTTTTACAATGCTTTAATGCTGAATATCTTCCAATTTTTTTAACTTTTAAAAAGAAAATAGTATTTTCTATTATGCTTTATGTGTTACACTCAAGACTGTAAATACAATAGTAAATATTTACAATTTTATATTTAACAAATAATGCCTCTTATTTATTAAAGTATGCCTTGAGCTAGATGTCCATAGGGGTAAAACATTGTTCACTCAAATTTGTTAAATTTTGCTAGTTCTTTATTCCATAGCATCTAAAATCAGCTAATAGAAACTTCTCGGAAAACACCGTAGCTGGGGTGTCCACCTTTTGACATCCCAGGGCCACATATTAAATACCTTGCAACACATAATCACAAAAAAATCTGATGTCCTAAGTAAATTTATGATTTTGTGTTGGGCCGCATTCATAGCCATCCCAAGCCGGTATGACACCTCTAGCGTTGCCTCTTTTGCTCAAGTGTTTATATGATTCGTAAACACCTCCTTGTGTGTGTTTGTTTTGCAGAGCTGCCAATTTGTATTTCCTGTTCCTAGTCGTCCTGAACTGGGTGCCTTTGGTAGAAGCCTTCCAAAAGGAAATTACGATGCTGCCTCTGGTGGTGGTCCTTACAATTATTGCAATTAAAGATGGCTTGGAGGATTACCGAAAATACAAAATTGACAAACAGATCAACAACTTGGTAACTAAAGTCTACAGTAGGTAAGTGGAACAGGGGCTGTCCTGGGCAATACACATGTGTCATTTAGAAACACGCAGAATGTAACTTTTTCCCCTGGGTGTGACCAGGACCTTTTCTGTGGTGGTGGTGATAGTGCTTATATTTTCAACTAGTATTTATCAAAGCCTACAGTGAATTTAAGTCACAGGTCACAGGGAAACAAAAGTGTATACGACATTGTCAACCCAGGAGTCAAATGCTTTTATAACTTGTAAGTGAAACTGAAAGAATTAAACTTCAAAACGTAAGAAGGGAAACAAGCAGCTAGTTTTTAATCCTAGTTGTTACAGTTTGGGATTAGAACAGGATGGGGTATGAAAAATAAGAAAGGGTATGAAAAACAAGAGGCCGAATGAAAAAGAGAAGGCAGGAGCTACCTGCAGAGAAAAGGAATTCTGAAAGGAATGCTCTTTTGGGAGCGCACAAAGATAGAGGCTGATAAAGCCTTCCTCCCTGCAGCAACAACAGGGGGTGCTCCTAATAGGTGTTTTCAGAAGCATGTTGCTGTGTTGGAGACTCTATTTCCCATACTTATGAAATAGAAGCCTGCATAGCCACAAATAAAAGCCATTAAAAAGAGTTTTGAACTTCACTATATATTATATGCCTGTATTTACAAATTATATTATACCTAGGACGCTGGTGTCCAAAGACAACTGTTTATAACACTGTAGCATATTCTTTCAAGTCCTGTGCAGATTGTGTTTCTGGTTTACTAAATTGAGATAATACTACATTATTGTTTTCCCTTTCTATTAGCCTAATATTATACCATAAGCATTTTCCATGTCTTTATCCTTCAAGAAAGCGTTTTAATAGCTGCATACCTGCACTGTCTCTCATATGACTCTAATTTATTTAAATATTTCCCATATTGCATAACTTTGAGAATTATGCTTTAGTGAGTATGATACAGAAGTTTTGAGAATCTATGATTATTTTATGATTATAATTAGAAATTGAATTACTAGATTAAAGAAGAGTAATATATTTAAGTCCTTACTTATGTGGCCTTTATGAAAATGAATTACAGAGTTTATAATGTTAATTCTCTCGAGTTCCCCCTCTCATGAGAACTATATTTGTTTTTTTAAGAAATCATCATTAGAACAATTTTGTGAACTGATTCATTTATGTTCATTGCTTTAAAAACAAGTTTATGGTGTTACTTTTTTTCACTTCAGACGTAGGCAGATTTATGGAGTATTTTGGGGGAGTTAATATATTAACTCGACCTGAGGGGGATAACCAAAAAAAAAAAAAAAAGCACAATAATGAGCAATACAAAGTTAAAGAGGAAGGTGAGGCCTACTGGGAGGGACTCCACCACCAGGCTACTGCATGAACAGTGTATTAGTAGGGCTTCTCCAGAGAAACAGAACCAATAAGAATAAGACTTACTATAAGCAATTGGCTCACATGATTATGGAGGCAAGAGGTCCCACCATCTGCAAGCTGGTCCCGGTACTGCTGGCAGCATTGTTGGAAAGCCTGAGAGATGGAGAGCCGCTGATGTGGATTTCAGTCCCAGTCCGAAGGCCTGAGGACCAGGAGCGCTGAGGTCAGAGGTTCGATGTCCCAGCTCAACAGTCAGGCAGGCAAAGGGTAAATTCAGTCTTCCTCTACCTTTTTGTTCTTTTCAGGCCCTCAAGAGATTGGGTAATGCTCACCTATATCTGAGAGGGCCATCTGCTTTACTCAGTTCACCAATTCAAGGCTAATTTCTCCCAGAAACACTCTCACAGACACACGCAGAAATATTTAACCAGGTAGCTGGATATTCCATGGCCCAGTGAGGTTGGCACCTAAAATTAACCATCATAGATATTTTCCTTTAGTAGTAGAGAATCCATCTTTGGAACAGAGAAGTAACGTGGTAAGAGAAGTAATGTGGTGCTTTAGAAATATTGGTCTCCTTGAGGCATGAGAATAGCCTGTACTAACAAATAGCCCTGGATTGATTAGTATGTCTGTTTTGGAGTGATTAGTAGACCTGTTTCTACTAATCAGTCCAGAACATTGCTGGGAGTAAATGCAAAGTACAGGAAGGGGTTCAAAGAAGAGATACTATGAAGAACCCAACCAAATTTGGTGAACTTTTGTGACTTTTAAGATTTCAAAGATAAAAAAACCTCATAAAAATAGCAAACATTAAGTTCACCTCAGGTAGAATGAATTAGAAATGATAGCAAGATAGGCCTCCAAGTGGAAATGCCCATTGGGCAAACAGGAACACTGCCGAAGCTCTGGAAGGAAGGAAAGGCTACAGAGTGAAACTTCAAAGTCATCAGACCCTTTTGAGATGATTTTGAAGTTAGGAGTTCGATGTAAATCCCTAAGGGAGAAAACAGGAAGAGCTAAAAGACAGCTTTGAGGCCAAAGGCAGGTGCCTATCTCTGCCTTTGAGAAGACTTCACAGGTTCCCTCGGACAGATGCTGCCCCTCGGACAGATGCCGCCCCTCTGCCGTCTGAGGTGCCAAAGCACTTGGTGTTTTTCTTGGGTGGACTTTGGTGCCCATATACAGTCTAAGTGCACAAAACAATTCTAAATTTGTCAGACTAAAAGATTCCATTCTATTCTACCAAGTCAGAGTAAAGATATTTACGTTCAGGTCTAGTTTTTTAATAAACAGAAGTATATTCTAAACAAATTTAAGGCCCTTTTGACTGACCAAGAGTTTAACCAGGTGACAAATTTTTGTTTTATTTTAGAAAAAACAATTCAAAGGCTTGTGACAGTTGAACTGTCTTCTATTTTATGTGAGATATAGAAGAAATGCTTAGGGAAAGCACTGAAGAAGTGATGTTTAAGATGGAACCTGTAGGATTCTGAATTCTTCAGTGGCCTTTCTCAACATTTGTCTTAAAGCTCTATAAAGAAAACAAAGAAAATAACTTCTTTTTCTCCTTTGTCGGATGATCTGAGCTGTACGTAAATAAAGAAAACTTAGCTCTCTTTTTTTTCTTATAGTCATGTGTCATCTATAGTCATGTCTAATTTTGTGTTCATGCCCAATCTTACCAGAAAAATTTACAGATTAAATAGAAAAATGAAATAGTAAAAGCCTATGGTTTTCATTTTAAAGTCATAGAGCATCTTACTAAAACAGTGTTATGAACTATTTGATGACATTTAAGACCTTATCGTATACCAGGGATAAAGAGGAGAAATGTTGACACAGCCTCATTCCAAAAAAATAGATGTAGGAAGTAATATTTTATAATAATTATATGTTGAAAAAATCTGGATTTTGCTCAATGTTAAGATTACCCAGCTAACACCAAATTTAGCAAATTGAAAATATACTTATATATATTTTAAATACAAATTATTATATATAAATAATTGTTGATTGTTTAGTGCTAGTTTAGAGTTGATTATAATGTGTGTTTCTTTGCTTTTCTAGGTTGTTCTAAAATATTCTAATCTTAGTTTTCTCACTCAGTAGCTGTGTAGCCTTGGGCAAATTACATAAGCTAGTAAACTCAGTTCCCTTCACTATGAATATAATAATAATAAAAATGTAGGCGTAGTGTCTATCCTTTTCTAAGTGCTAAATAAAGGTTAGTCATTATAATGATCACTGTAAGTTAGTAATAACTATTAGCTAGAGTTCATGTTTGTCATATTATCAGTTGATCTCATCGGTAGTGGAGAGACCCTTAGAACACTGTACAATTTTATAAATATTAAAATTGCCTAATGGGGGACCTGGTGTAATTTTTTCTCAGGGGTCTTTTTAGATATAGTCCAGATCTACTTTAGATGATTGCATATAAACTTCAAGATGAAACGCGATATTCTATTCAGTTGTTTGAGGTCTATTTCAAGATATCTATTTATAATTTCATTTCATAATAGAATCAGGTAACTCTGTCTTTTTAACCTGTGTTCTATGTAATGTGCTTTTGTATGATATAGTAAAAGAAATAATGCTTACCTCTCCCCCCAAAATTGTTCTTGAAACAAATTATAAGCATTTAAAGAAATTAAGGTAGGCTGTAAGGCCATGCCTTGTTGATATAAATGTGCTAACTTAAACTCTTATGAAATACAAAGAAATCACTTAAGCAAACAAATTATTCCTGAGCAGAATTAAGGTGAAAGTATGAGGCCATTACATTTTGCAAGCTCTTGAAAGCAGCATATTAGCATTTCTATGCAGATAATTTGGTTCTTATTTGTAATATGTGGTCTTTCCCAAGGTGTTTAATTATCTTTGGGAAAGTATCAGTGGGAAATAACAAACACGAGTATAGAAATTAAGCACTTAAATCCTATTATATCCCAATTAAATTACAATGAGCTATTATAGAAAACCGGACTTTCTTACTATTGCCTTTAAAATAGCAGCTATCTGTAGGGTTTTAAGGTTTGTTGCAAGGATAATAGGCATGTGTTGAAAACAAAACTATTAATCATTCAACAAATTTGAGTACCTACTGTGGGGTAGACACTGAGAGAGTTAGTGGCTTAGAAAAAATAGGTATCATGCCAGCCTTCTAGGAACTTATATTGTTTTCTGGTCTTTGAAAATCATCATGGTGATATTAAGAGTTTTAAAATGCTAGCTAAAATGAACACTTTAGGATTATCTCACAAATTCATAGAATTTCATGATTCTTGAAATGAGGCTGTGTATCAGTGTTCTAAGTTAATTAACCTTCTGTGTGACGTTTTCCAAAGCAATGATCTTGAAATTCACTTTGTAATGCATAATTAAACCATTTTTTAAATTTGGTGGTCCTCAGTAAGTGACTATTGCTGGGAATAAGTCTACTGCCTCGTTTCAAATCCCAGGACCTCTTAGGAGCTCTGTGACCTTGAGAAAGTTACTTAACTGTTAAAGCCTGTTTTTTCTCAATTGTGAAATGGAGCCACAGTGTGTTCATTGTACCAACCATAAACCATTGATACAAAAAAAATAAATGAATCAGTGAATATAAAGTATTAGATAAGTCTTAGTGGCTACTGTGTCCAATGATTATTCGTTATTTGCTTATAAATTGTTTTTAGCATTCTATTGAAAAAAACTTAAAAATATTAGAAAGAATTGCATTTATAATCTCACTCTGTCTTTTTAAATTTGTTGAAGTAGGAAGGAGAATTCCGCATTCTCCTTCCTACATGTACACCTCTTTCTCCTTCCTCCCAACTCCCACCTCCATGGAATCAGTTAACAGTACAGTGTATTTTTCCCAACTTTTTCCAGTGCTTATGTAAAGAACTGTTTGATAGTGAACTCTTAGAAAAGCAATGGATCTAGATGTTCCCTGAAGGAGGAATTGTAAGAGCTATGTCCTGACCAGTGAGAGTAACACAGAAGCACAACCAACAAGTAGATGCAAGAGATTCTGGTGCTACATTCAGGCTGTGGGAGAAGAAGAAATTCCTCTTACTAGTTTTCATTCTATGTGAGGGATGGAAACAGGCTCATACTGAGTCTACCACAATGATAAATTTTCAGAGCTGGTTCAATGTGGCAGCCAGCATTGTCCCTTAGCTTGTGTTGCTTTCACACATCATGCTGCCTCGTGCTCCACGGCCTTGTGCCTTCACTCTCAACCTAAGTGCTTGGACCTGCTGTTCGAGCTCTCTTCACCTGACTCAGTGTTGATCATTCTTCAAGGCTCTCCTCTTCTAGGGCTAAAATAAATGTCCCAACTGTTTAGTTCAATAGTAGCCTCTACTTACCTCTTTCTTAAGAAATTGCTCTTTGTGTCTCTTTCAAATTTAGATCATAACCTTTGTAGGGTAGCGACCATATCGTAATCATTTTTGTATGATTAGTACTAATGTGGTAACTGGCATAAATTAAGATCAGATGTTTACTGACATAAACTGGGTAGCTATTGGGAAATTAGCTATTGTTTAAAATCTTAGTATATGCACCCAGTGGGGAAAAATGAAGTTAATTCCATTGTAAAATGGGCTCCATTTGAATTTTGTTCCAGTGTAGAATAAACTTTTCCTTCAGAGAAATTTTACTTATGTTTGAAAGAAAAATAAAATCTTTACCCTAATATTTAAGTTTGTCTTCTTTACCTACCTTCACAAGTTCTCAGCTAATTTCCTGATAGCTTTCTTTATAGAAAAAGTAGAGGCCATTAAGCATGAATGCATGACTTGAATTCCTTTTTACACCATCCACATTTTCACTTCTTTCTGACCTTGGATAAAAGGTAATTCCCTTTATTGTAATTTTAATCCTTTCATCTGCATGCTTAGTTCTGTTCCTTGTTTCTTTGTAGCCTCAACCAGCATTCCCCATTCTGCCTAGTCTCTCTTACATTGCCTTTTCCATGGGCTCCTTCCCTGCCTCCCCTGTACGTGCACAATTCTCTCACGCTCTTGCCCTTTGACTTACCTTTCCGTGCAGTTACTATTTTCACCTTTTATTTTTCTCATAGCTAAACTTCATGAAATATTCTATTTCTTCAACCTCCAGTCATTTTTTAATTCACTGGAGGTCTCCCCTCTTTACACTCCCCCTCAACAATTTCGTGCTTATTGTCTTTCTCTACGATCACCAGATACCCTAATAACCAAATACCATATGCATGACTTCCTTTTGACTCTTTTCCTCCCTTATGATTGCTCCCTTTTTGAAATTTTCTTGTCCCCTGATATCTCTGACATCTCTTTCGTTTGGGTCTTCTTTCACTTCTCTCTCACTTCGAAGTCATTTTCCCTTAGGAATCTCATATCCTTTCCTGGGGTCAGCTGGCCTCTGTGTACCTAGGTCAGATCAGAATCTTTAATAAATCGCTGCACAGGTTTAATTGCATATCCCATTTCAAATACCAACCTTCCAAACTGAATTTATTACCACCCCTGTGATGCAGCCAGTTGTTTCTAAAATCCGAGACAGAGTAAAAGGGCCATCATCATTCCATCTTACAAGATAGAAACCTTAGAGTCATCCTTGATCACTCCTTTACATGTGGTAAATCAAAAAACTTAGTTGTCTCTAGTACCCAAATATGTCTTGATTTAATTTCCCGCTATTCATTCCTGTTGTTGCTGCCTTTATTCTGACCGTCTTCATCCTTCACCCTGAATTATTTTAATAACTTTCCATTGATTTCATGGCCATTCCTGCTCCCATCCAGGCTGAAACCCAACAATCCATCCATTACTCTGATGCAGGAGTTACCAAATACAAATAAGCTCACATTCTTCTTCTTGGGAACCTTTAGTGACTCCCCATTTTGTGGGATGAAATTCCTCCTCCAAGGTATGGCATGTAGGACTGAACCTTTAAATTTGATCTATGCCTACATTTTTGATGTCCTCTCTATTACTCCTTCCATGGAAGAGTGAACTGGTGTGCACAGACATTAGGGAAACGTTTGCTGGACAAAATAAAGCATTGATTTGCCTTTCTCTATGAACTAAACTCTAGCTAGTCAAGGATTTCTTTTAGTTGGATTCAGCCTGGTGCATTAGGTATTTGGGGAGAATGTGTTCTAAAAATGTACTACTTAGTCCCTTAAGCTAAATTTCTAGAAATACCTGATATAATTCTCCATAACTTGTACAGCACAAGTTTTACAAGTATTGGCCCAAGGTGGTGTTTCTATTTAATCTGACGTGTTAGTTTTTAAAATATGTAGGTTATATAATAGACTATAACTATTTCTCAGGCTTCTTTGACAATGAGTTTAAATATTTAGTCCCATAATTATAATAGAAAATAAATCTTTACCTTTAAAATAAGTGCATTTTTGTGACAAATGCCAGTTCTTTATAGATATTTGGAAGCAGTGGGGGAATGAGACAGACTTTCCTAACTTTTTTGGCAGCATTGTATGTGAAGTTCTGCTTATCTAGCTGATACGATGTTCTGTAGTACAAATGTCCTCATTCTACTCTGAGGAAAATGTTTTGTGGTGCATAATTTATGTTGTTGGCATGAAAAGGCGTGAGAAGTTTGGCAAAAACATTAACATAAAGCACAGTATTTAAGGCAAGTCAAAAGATGCATCTTTCCTTAAAAAAAATTTTTACTATATAGAATGAATAAACTACATTGAAAAGAGATAAAATTTGCCATTTTCTTTTGTAAGAACCAGTTACAACAGACTCAAGACTATTTTAATCATTATTTTTATTAAATGATAAGTAGAGTTGTTAATATGGTCATGTAATGGCGTTTTTAAAGATTTTATTTATTTATTTTTAGAGAGAGGGGAAGAGAGGGAAAAATAGAGGGAGAGAAAAATTTATGTGAGAGAGAAGCGTCAACTGGTTGCCTCTCATAGGTGCCTTCACTGGGGACCGAACCTGCAACCCAGGCTCCAAACCAGCATCTGACCAGCGACCTTTCACTTTGTGGGATGATGCCCAACCAACTGAGCCATGCTGATCAGGGCTGTATAATGATTTTTTAAATGTTGCATCTGGGTATTTATTTCATTTCTTCTGTGTTTTCTTTAATTATGCATCTTATTTGCCACGTGGGAAGCTCTCAGAGAGCAGATGTTGTGCCTTGTGCACTTCCAGACCCTGAACCCCCTCCCTGACCACAAGGTAGATGCAGGAATGGCTACATTTATGCATAAACCCATCAATTTTAATTTTATTTCAGAATTATACTCAAACAGCATGATGGCTCGAAGTTTCATGGGAAAAAGAGCTGAAAAATATGTTTTAGCAGCTAGTAACTAAATTTTCAGGGAAAGCAAGTTGTGAAATTTAGATTTTATAATCCTCTGGCTTCCCTTTTAGCATTTAATGGATTAAAATTCACCCTAATACTTTAAACATGCTCTAAATTATATAGTGGAACTTAAACACTATATGTCTTTGGCTTGATATTCTCTTTCAGCTTTTTTTTTTTTTTCAATTTTAGGAAAGAGAAAAAATACCTTGATCGATGCTGGAAAGATGTTACTGTTGGGGATTTTATTCGCCTTTCCTGTAACGAGGTCATTCCTGCAGATATGGTCTTACTCTTTTCCACGGATCCAGATGGAATCTGTCATATTGAGACTTCTGGTCTTGACGGAGAGAGCAATTTAAAACAGAGGCAGGTGGTTCGAGGATATGCAGAGCAGGTAAATAACATGTTTTCAGTTGGTGACATTAACATTTTTGTTTTTAGGAAATGACTAAGCTTATTTTTACATGTATAGATAAAGAGATTTTAACATTTATTTTATCAATAAAAAATAGAATCCCAAAAGGCTTAATTCAACTCCCGATTTCAGTGGAAGTATGCTATATTTTGTAGATAATAAGATCAATGACTCTGGAGTTCAAACATTTCAGTCTGGCCATCATATATTTTTGGAACTAAATTAAAGGAACCTAGTGGAATTATTTTGACTTTGAGTAGTCGGCCCACAATACAATATACAGATGATGTATCACAGAATTGTACACTTGACACCTAGATGATGTTATTAACCAATGTCACCCCAATAAATTTAGGTAAAAAAATATTTATTTTGTAATTTGGAAAATTATTTTGTAATAGAAATAAGACTTAATTTATCTTTCTTAAGCTTAGACTTTATGTGATTGAAGCTGGTGACATGAATAGATCATTGTTCCTAAAAATCTATAGTTACTTATATACCAAGGCCCTTTAAGACTTTTGTGGCTTCTCATGCCACAGACTTCTAAACCTTTCATGGTGCTATGGTGAGGGAAACAAGATCTTTGGAACTATATTAACTAACATGAGTTTCAATGAATTCCAACTCACCATTTAATTACTGCATAGCTTTGAGCAAATCACTGACACACTTTATGCTACAGTTCTTTATCTTATAATGGAAATAATGTCTTCCTCATAGCATTGCTGTGAGACTCAGCTGAAGTAATATATATGTAAAAGCATCATACGTAATGCCTAAATATTAGTTTTCCTTTCCTTTCTCCGGAAGCACTTAAGATGAAGTATTTTAAATTGTAATGGTCTTCTTTTCAATGAACTACTATTTGGTCAAATTTTCTTGACTTTATACTTGCAAGCCAGGCAATGTTTTAGCCAAAGAATACCCTTATCTTTAGTAAATATCATCACCTGATGTCACACTGGACCCTTCTTTGACCTATGTATTTAGATCCTCTGTGATTGATATGCCTTTGAGCTTATTGTCATCATCTTTGTAAGCATTCCTGTATCTAAGACATTTGTAAAAATCTCATACAGCTTAGAATTTTATGACATCCTACTAAACACCTACTTTGAGGGTGATGCCAGTTCATTAATCAGCACACTTTGGATTCAATTAAGAGTGAGTGCACTGGTATTCCATGACCTCATGTAACCCTGGCTCTAAATACCTTCTTGTTTTGAGAACTTTAACAAAATACTGATCCTTTTTGTGTCTCTCTTTCTTCATCTGTAATTAGACCTAATTATAGTACCACATGGTGCTGGGAAGGAGAAATGGTTAATGTATTTAAATTCATAATATAGATTCTAATGCATCAAGAGGACTCAAAATATTGTTAGTAAATCAAATTATATGACCATAGTTCTCATTTTCCATATTTTCTATGAAATATATATTAATATTTCACTAGCTATATCAATAACATTTTTTGTTAGCCAAAAAACCTTGTAAAAATAAAAAAGGAAATGAGATAAGGTTGGCATGGCTTGTTCATAGTGAGTCCATGCCTATGTTCTATAGGGACACTTTGCTTATTTGCTCATTGGTTTTATATAGCATTCTAAAATTATTGTTTGACCCATTAGAGTATTTTGTACGATATTGATATCTAGCTTATTTAACTTATAAATAAAATTTGCTGGGATCAAATGTGTATGTGCTCAAAGTGTTCAATATACATTTACTCTCAGAAACTACCAACATAGTTGAAGAACAACAACAAAATATTTTCAGCTTTTCAGTGCTCTCTAGATCAGAGTGTTTACTGCCTAAGTAGAAGCTTTCTCGGCAGAGCCCTGCGTGGATTCTGGTATATGACTCAGATGTTCTTATCGCTTGCCAGTGTTGGCTGTAGGACCATTCTGATCCCATTTATTCATTAATAATTATGCCTATACTTTCCTTCATTTGGGAAACTTGTGACATAAACTTTGGCAAGAATAACTTAATTTTACCTAAAGAAAGGGTGAATGGAAAAACACTTAAAACTTAAGGGTTTAACCTTGAATTCCTCTTGTTTTATTACTTACAAATATATATGTAAATGTATATTTTTAGGACTCTGAAGTTGATCCTGAGAAATTCTCCAGTAGGATAGAATGTGAAAGTCCAAACAATGACCTCAACAGATTTCGAGGCTTCCTGTGAGTGATGCATGCCTTACCTTTGTGGGTGTGAGTGGAATTGTGTGTTGCAACTATATTTAATTTGATAAGACTTTTGTGTACTTATATTCAAGATAAACCACTTATGGCCATATGTTTAGACACCTTAATAATTTAGTAAATATTTACCTATGTGTATTTTTAAAATAACAACAAAACCTTGGTCTTAAACTAATCCTAGAATTTCAGTGGCATAAGAATGTCTTACATAAGCTCCACATTAAGCCCAAGACATGTCAGTTGTTTGGAAGGAGGTGGTTAGACAGAACTAACAGTTTAAGTGGCATGATAGGACAGTGTTGTTCTGCAGAATTAGAGTAGCACATGGACAGTTATGGTTGGCAAAAGTTAAGTCAATGCTTTGGAACATGTCTAAGAAGTATGAAAAATCATGACAGTGTTCATTCTGGAGTCTTCTTGTGGTACCCACCTCCCTTTTGCATGAGCAGCTAGAATATGTGGTCTTACCCTAATTTGATGGCTGGCTAATGCCACTTTAGTGCTTTATGCTATTGCCCCGGAGCCCTTAGCCAGTCCCAAGGCCCTTTATGCCCCCAGCTCTGTACATCATCACTTGCCCCTGGATTCCTGGACGCCGTGTTTGCTTGCCCTTCGGTTCCTGCATTTGTGTTAAGCCCTTTTGATGTCTATTTCAACATGTGCTGCCTTCCTTTCTGATTAGTATGGTTTGACCAATGAAGTGGTCTTTCTTCTGGAATCCACAACTAAAAAATACTCTCTGCTTCCTCTCCTCTCCCTCAGATTCTTTCTTCCTTAGTGCTCCAGTGATGCCTACACTGAGAGCTGGCTCACCAGTTTTCAGAGAGGCATTTAATGAGAGAATCAGTGATTTTTCTGTGGAATTATTTTTAACCATTGAAGTAGCTCCTTGTGCATTTCTTACTTTGTAGCCTGTTTTCTAAAATCAACAAAAATTGAGATGCTCAAGCTCACTCTATATGATGCCTTCTTTGACCTTCTTCTCAGGCAGAACTGATGTCCTCCCTCATTGTGCCCACGTTGTATGCTACTATATTTCTATCATAATAGCTATAATAGTCTTATTACACTTACGTATTTTATATCAGTCACCTCCTCTTAGATCACAGGAGCCAAGACTGTTTGCGTGTGTGTTTCTATCCCCAGCATCTGTAGATGTAGTAGATGTTACATAGGTTCTTCAATGGATGAGAGCTCTATGTGTTTAACCTTTGCTTCATATAAAATCCAAAGGTTTCGTGCCATAAGTGCCAAATGTCACTCATCCATCAGGTGCAGGACATGTTTAGCATTTGGGCAGATGCAACCAAAATAGAAGCTGGGCTTAGATCTAATAATGGTCTAATAACCTAGAGTGATGTAATGGTGAAAAATAAGGATCCCAAGGGAAAAACATTAGTATTTACTAAGCCAGTTTGGAAGTGATGCTTCTCTATGTTAAATCTGTCCCTATAAACAACCTATGGATAACACATGACATGCTGATGGGGATTTGGTGGTGTTTACCTGGGAATGTGAATGTTGGGGCTTGAATTTCCTCATCTGTAAAGCCAGGATGTTGAATTAGATTAAATATAAGGACACTTCTAGTGCTGACCGTGACCCTGCGGTTCCTTCTTTGTACAAACACCCGTCTATGTGAAAACAATACACTTCTTAGAAGATAGTGCTTTACAAATTATAGAAGTGACGTATTATCTAGTTTTCTCCTCCGTTGTGATATGAAACCTTCTTTAAAGTTTTTTTTCCTGTAATGACATATAGCAAGGTTAGCAGAAATAATGACAATTTTTCTGTATGTAAGAAAAAACAACTTCTAGACTGAAGTATATCTCTTAGAAAATCTAATTTTGGTGCTGAAATTTAGAGGACATTTTCAAAGTATGTAAAATACATTATTTTCTGCTTAATTTAAAAGATATTCTAAAGATTCTGCTCTGTATTTTTGCCATCATGGCAATTTCATCAAGTAATTACTTTGATAATTTTTAAACTGTTTATACAAAAAATTTCCAACTTGCAAAATTAGAAAGAGAAGTATAATGGACACTCACAGGCCCTCACTCAGTTTTAACTATTTCGGAATTTTGCCCACTTTGTTTCAGTTAGCCCCTCGACTTCTGCGTCATCATATCATTTCACTGTATGTACTTCGCTATCAATATATAGTAGAAAAGGACTTTTTAAAAAACCATAGTGATAACATCATTGTCACATCTAACTACATTAAGAACAATTTCTCAGTGTCATCTAATACAGCTGTCCCCAACCTTTTTGGTACCAGGGACCGGTTTTGTGGAAGACAGTTTTTCCAGGGACCCTGTGTGGGGGCATGGTTTCGGGATGATTCAAGCCTTACATTCAAGCTCACCTCCTGCTGTGCAGCCCGGGTTCCTAACGGGCCCTGACCCCTTTCCCTTCCGGCACATGACCCAGAGGTTGGGGACCGCTGATCTAATACCTAGTCTTTGTTCAAATTTCTCCAAATATATTTTTAAAAGTGTTTTACAGTCAGCTTATTCTAATCAGAATCAAACCCAGGTCTCCACACTGTATTTGGTTGATAATATCTGTAAATTTCCCTTCCTGAGAAATTGGGTCATGTAGCTTGCAGAATTTACCACATTTCAAATTGAACTGACTGCATCCTCCCTGTGTGGAGTCCTCCTTCCCCTCCTTTTGCCCCCATGCCTTTCATTTGTTGGGTAAATCAGGCCGTTTTGCCTCTAGAGTTCACCACATTTTAGGTTTAATTGACTGAATCCATGCAGTGGTGGTTGACATGTTTCCCTGGCCCTCTTCTCATCTTGTAAACTTCCCAGGGTCACTTTCAGGGTCTGATAAAAGAAATAGGTTCTCTCCCTAAAAAATGACAAACACATTATGCACATACACACACATGCAGGAAATATTGCACACAATTTCAAAGGCTTCTCAGAGCTTCAGAGGCCGTAGACCCCAGGTTGTTTTGCCCTGATAGAGGCTTCGTTAGGTTCCCATGGAGACATGCACTTCCTGTCCCATCACGTGTGGAGGCCCGTGGTGTCCCCTTGCTCTATTGGTAGTTCGTTAAGATGGGTGCTCTCAGCCTTATCCTTTTATTAAGTTCCCCATCAGCCTTTTACTTGGTGGGTTTAGCAATCACCAATTATCATTGCCTAGAATGATTCTTGATTTCATCCGGATTGAAAATGGTGATTTTTCCAATTTTATCAATAACTTCTCCCTCATCAGCTATTAATTACCTGAAATACAAGTGCAATTTGTACTAGAGAAGCAGGTTCCTTATTTGGAATATGTTTGAGCTTCTTTGAAACTATAAGTTGACAAAACAATGAATACTAGAAAACAATGGTATTTAGAAACGTGTTACATCTTTTTCCCAGCCAAAGCAGGTAACTCTGAAATAACAGAAACAAATGGGCCAGAGATTTGAAAACTTTCCTGTGAACTGCCTAACTTAATATTCTAATCCAGAAAACTCAAAACCATGATTTTTGTTTTTCTGTCCCCACTTTTGCTCTTTAAATATGAACCTCGTTGCTGTCTTTCTTCCAGAGAACATTCCAACAAAGAACGTGTGGGTCTCAGTAAAGAAAATTTATTGCTTAGAGGATGCACCATTAGAAACACAGAGGCTGTCGTGGGCATTGTGGTTTATGCAGGTTAGTTTTCACCACTGTCTCCTTTGTACTTTTCTACAAGTTAATATTTTCCACTCACTCAAAATGCGGTTTTCAGAAGCAGGAAGGAATTTTCTCCTGATAAACTTAATCACTGGTCTCTGTTTTTCTAAATGGATTACAAAAGCAAACTAAATTAACAAAACATATTCTCTAACTACAATTTATTAAATTATCTGCCAGAGAGATTTTAAAATATGATATTTGCTGCCTTGCCTTAACTTGCACGTTCTCTGACACATTGTGTTATTTACGTAGGCCATGAAACCAAAGCAATGCTGAACAACAGCGGTCCCAGGTATAAACGCAGCAAATTAGAAAGAAGAGCAAATACAGATGTCCTCTGGTGTGTTCTGCTTTTGGTTATTATGTGTTTAACTGGTGCACTGGGTAGGTAAAATTTCATTATTTGCCTAGACATCTTTTCAGCAAGATATTCATTTAAAAGTATTTTACTTTCAGAGATTTATGAATGTCTGACTTATGTAAGGAAGGCTTTATTTGCCAGTGACTTTTTCCCCTCAAATCCTAATCTCATTCTTTGGCCTGATAAGCACGAATGTTGATGATATGCAGTTATACATGCCACAGTGCTGAAGGGCCTGGGGAGGGATTTAAATAGAGACAGAGACAAGAGAATGTATAGAATTTTGAATTTGAGTTTGTTTCCAAAAACAAATAATTGTTCAACTAAAATTAATTCTCTCATCTCTTTTTTTTAAGAAATAAAGTTCTGTATTTACATAATATATATGTAGCATCCATTTGATATCTGTGTTTTTTCTGAAAGGTCATGGAATCTGGTTGAGTAGATACAAAAACATACCCTTTTTTCATATTCCTGAGCCTGATGGACGTGTCATATCACCAGTGTTGGCAGGATTCTATATGTTTTGGACCATGATCATTTTGTTACAGGTAATTGCTGTCGAGCTCATTATAGAATTTTAAGATCTTTGCTACTTATCCAGCTATCTCTGATTCCTCAACCTTCCTTTTCCGCCTGTGACATTTTTTAAAATGGTTTGGTTCTTTTCAGGTCCTGATTCCCATTTCTCTCTATGTTTCTATTGAAATTGTGAAGCTTGGACAAATATATTTTATTCAAAGTGATGTGGATTTCTACAATGAGAAAATGGACTCTACTGTTCAGTGCCGAGCCCTGAATATCACCGAGGATCTTGGACAGATTCAGTACCTCTTTTCTGATAAGACAGGAACCCTCACAGAGAATAAGATGGTTTTTCGAAGATGCAGTGTGGCAGGCTTTGATTATGGTCATGAAGAAAATGGTGAGTGCTGGGCATATATGAAAACCAACCTTAACTTTGATCTTTTTACACCCACCTGAAGGTTTGATGATTCTAGTATAGAAGCTCTATACTTAAGTATTGGGTACTTAATCATACAAATGGGCATTAAGCTTAATTGCCATCCCTTCAGAAGTTAGTAGGTCAAAGTCAAGGAGTCTGTTGCCATGGTTTCTTTTAAAAGCAAGTGAATTACCGATAGGAGTAGGCATTGGCGTTGTAGCGGCGACAATGATAATTGCATTGTAGATGCTTTTGAGAATCTAATGAAAATATAAGCCATATCCTAAAAAATATTTTGAAAATAATTCCAAAAGGACTACAAGCTCCCCCAAACCCCAACATTCAGCCCATAAGTGTTCATGGATTCTTGGTTAAGATCACCTAGTTTAAGAATGAATCAGATGAGCTGAACTCCTGATACTTAGGAAGTAAATACATAAATTACCTTAAGCTTTTTATAAAGACTTGAACTTTACTTTTGTTATTTATAAAAGTCATATGTGCTCCTACGAAGATAATTCTGAGAAGTGTTCAGAACAAAAGCCCCACTCTCTAAAGGTTAACCACCATTAACAGTTTGATGAATATATAACCATCCATTTCTTTATGCATATTTCTCTAAATGTGAACGTATCTATTTACCCATTTCCTTTTTATGAGTTAGAACATGTTATGATATTAATTTTAAATTTGCTTCTTTTATTCAACAGTATCTCATGAACTTTTTTGCAAGTGAGTTCATTACATTAAGTACATAGTATTGCACTATTTGTGGTCGAGCTCAGATTTATATTATAACAGTATATTCAATAACATTACTTATTCAAAATATTTTGTGAGCTACTAATAGGTGGCATTAGTCCATGATTTCTTACAGTTTAGAATTTAGAGCAAGAAGATAGACAAATAAGATTAAAAATTATGATAGATAAAAGAAAATGCCTGTTTCTCATGCCCAACCATAGTGGGATGAATTTATTCTTTTTAGTGTCTGTGATTTTTGTAGACACAGGGGGCATTTCATTATCTTAGTTTGTAATTTAGTAACAATGTTTAGCTTTTTATATATTTGTTGGTCATTTGAATTCCATGACCTTTTCCCGTTTTACAAGAGTTGTCCTTAGTCATAGTATTCTGTAGGGGGTGTTTATCTATTAAGTCAGTGCTGATGTTCAGCTTGTATGTCCCGGTCTAAGTGGTGTGTGGCCAGCATCCATTTTCATTTGTGCACTTTGATTGAACCAGTTGTTAAATAATTTGATTACCAGCCCTGATATCCCTTTCTTCTTGATGAAGCAAATATTTTCCTGGTTTACGACTTACAGTTGAATTAGTTTTCTATTGCTGCATAATGAATTGCCACAAATTCAGTGGATTAAAACAATACAAATATACAATCTCATGGCTTCTGTGGGGCAAGAGTCTCTTGGGGTCTTTGACCACTCTGAAGCCCAGGTGTCAGCTGGGAGTGTGATCGTATCTGAGGCTCGGGAGACTGTCCTTAGCTCACGGGTTTGGGGCAGAATTCTGAGTCTTGCGGTTATGGGGCTGTGGCCCGGCTCTTCCCCTGGCTCTCAGCCTGGGGCGCTCTGAGCGCCTCGAGCCAGCCCAACCCATGGCAGGTGGCCTCTTCAGGGCCAGCAGCAGAACCTCTAGCTTTGAATCTCTCTCTCACTTCAGGGCAGGACTGACACCTCCTTTAGTGCATTTCTTAGGAGCTTGTTCTTCACGTACACATTAATATGTGGTTTTTAAACAAAAGTGGCATCACCATATGCTTTTACTTTTATACTCTTTTTTCTTAAGACTTCATCATGACTCCCTTTCCATTATCTCTGTATTCTTCTAGTGGTTACCGTGTACTACATGTGAGAATTGCCATGCTTTATGTAGTTAGCCCCTTCGTTTAGGCTGTTGACAGTCGTTTGCTGTGGTAAACGATGCTGCAGTGAACATCCCTGTAGCTAAGCCTTCATGCCCTTGGTGAGGCTGGAGTTTTCTAAAATCCTTTGACCATAGATGTCTTATTTTCAAGAAATATTCACTGATGTTTCATAATGCACACAGTGGAAAGCACTGCATTATTTTTAGTATCGGTAGCATTTATAATTTTGTATTTGCAACATTTACGAGAGCCAATTACCAGCCTTCCCCTACCCCAGTCCCTGAACATACACGCTGCTGACCAGTGAATACTTCTCTTCTGTGGCTTCTTATGCAGAGAAGATACCAAGTGACTAAGAATCAAATGCTACCATGACAACTAATCGATAAGATTCCTGCTTGTGAACCATGGAGTGTTGCACTAATTAAGATGCTTATGTTGTCTGTGAGCACTTCTTTACTATATACATCTGGAGCTTCTAGTCTCATTTTTGCAGTGGCTTAAAAATGAGTCCATACATACACACACATGCACACACACACACAAGCACACTAAGTGCTGAAGGGGGTGATGGCAGAGGCCAGTTCTCCCGAGAACTTAATCCTGGGGAGACATATTATTAAGTCTAAGACATTCTTTTCACCGCAGTGAAAACAGGTTAATCCTTCAGGCTTTTCTAGCAAAAGTGTTACCTAAGAGATATCTCCATAAAGAATATTTCTGCTTGGAAAGAGAGCCTCTTACACATATGTAATTAAACTAAACACATCTCACAGATGATTTCATGTTTTAGAACATGATAGTTAGAAATTTGATCCATGGACTAAGCAGCATCCAGAAAATGTGCAATCCACCAAGTACGTGTTTGTTGACTATTTACTGTATATTCGAGATTCCAGACAATGATAAACTTAGAAATTTGGTCCATGGACTAAGCAGCATCCAGAAAATGTGCAATCCACCAAGTATGTGTTTGTTGACTATTTACTGTGTATTCCAGATGCCAGACAATGATAAACAAGGCAGATAAGGCCACTGCTCTCTCAGAGCTTCTGTTGGAGAAAAGAGTCATAAATAAATTAATTTTTGAATCAAGAAAAATACTAAATAGTAAAAAGTGCTTTGCAAAGAATTAAAATGGAATGATATGACAAAGATTATTTGAGGTCGGATGAATGGGCAAGTCCTCTCTAAAGGGGACATTAGAGCCTAGATCTAAATTACAGAATCTTGAAGTTCAGGGGCAAAAGCCTTTCAATCAGAGGGAGCAGCTCAGCGAGCCCTCAGGCTGAAATGTGAGGGGCAATTTTCAAAGTAAAACAATGGCCAGTGAGGCTGGGTTTTAGTGGAAGAGTGTGGAAGTATGGAAGAAGGAGAGGCAAAAAAGGCATCAGCAGAGGTCAGGTCACTTGGAGTTGTGTAAGCCAGGAAAAGGGGTTCAGAGTTTATTCTGAGTGAATTGCGAAGCCACTGGAGAGTTTTGTGCTTTATCTTTGAGGAAGATCATTCTAGCTACTGTGCGAGGCAGAGAGTGCTGAGGGGCAAGGAGACCAGTTACGAGGCTATTGGGCTAGTTCTGTTGGGAGGGGATGACGGCATGGCCTGAGGCGATGGAGATGGAGAGACGTCAAGATATTCGGGATGTATTTTGGATGAGTAATGGACAGCTGTTGGCCATGCTTTGACTGTGGGGGCTGGGGAAGGAGAGAGGAATCAGGGAGAATCCTAGGTATTTGGCGTAAGTAACTAGATAGTTAGGTACCATTTGCAGAGATGGGGAAGACAGAAAGAGTAAGGGTGAGGGAGAAGAAAAGGAGAGTTTGGTCTTCACATGTGAAATTTAAGTTATCTGTTTACCAATTCAACAAGTATTTATTATCCGTCAACATTGCTTTGGGCACTTTGGGATATCATATTAGCAAAACAGATAGAATTATTTGCTCTTTTGGGGTTAATAGTAAAAATGTAAGCAAATAAGATATATAGTGTATAGACGGTGGTAAGTGCTGGGATAGGAGTTATAGTAAATATGGTGGTTAGATCTGAAAGTCTTCACTGACGGAGGACATGATAAGATACTTGAGGGGAGTAAGGGGGTGAGCTATGCAGAGATCTGCTTAAAGAACCTCCTAAACATCCAACTGGAAGTATCAAATGAAGAACTGGATCTATGACGCTGGATTCCAATTAGCAGTCAGAGTTGAAGGTATAGGTTTGGAGGTGCTGTGCAAAGAGATGATATTTCAAAGATGGGAACAGATGACATCACCAAGGAAGAGTATTATAGGTGGAGAAGGGAAGGAGCTTCTGCAGCAACCCAGTACTGAGGGCCGAGGAAGAGGGAAGAGAGCAGGAGACACTAAGATGGAACAGCCATTGTAAATAGGAGGAAAAACAGGGACACATGGTGTTAGAGAAACAAAAAGCCATTTCAAGGAGAAAACAGTCACCTCTGTTGGATATTGCCAAGAGTTCAAATAAAACACAGACAGGTGCGATCATTCAATTTGGTGATAAGGGATGGCCTTGAAAACAGCAGTGTCAGTGGGGAGACAGGGACAGAAAGCCATGGGGTTGGTTGCAAAGAGATTGGTGTAAGTGAGAGAGGGGAGAATTACAAGGCCAGAGTCCTTGAGAAGGCCAGAGGGGTGGATGCTGATCACGAGCGGAGGGTGTGGCATTGGAATCTTTTATGCAGAGTAAGAAGAGGGAAGACAGAGAGTTTGGGTACCGATGCAGATGGGTTGGTAGATTCAATGATGGGGAAAGAAATGAGTTCCTACCTGATTGCTGCTACTTTTCTCCATGAGGTAAGTTCATTAACTAAGAGTATTGCAGGAGGGGAGGTTGGGGACCAGGTTTGGAAAAGGAGGAGGTGGTATGAAATAGCTGCTCAAGGAAATACCTGATATTCAACTTGCAAGTGGTTCTTCTCAGGCAATGACGCAGTGTGATTTTTACCCCTCAGCCAAGAGGTTAGAGTCCTATCAGGAAGCTGTCTCTGAAGATGAGGATTTTGCAGACACTCCCGATGGCTCTCTCAGCAATATGGCAAGACCGAGGGCCCCCAGCTGCAGGACGGTTCATAATGGGCCTTTGGGAAGTAAATCCTCGAGTCATCTGGCTGGGAGCTGTTCGGCTCTGGGAAGTGGAGAAGGAGCCAGCGAAGTGCCTCGTTCCAGACAGGCTGCTTTCAGTAGCCCCATTGTAAGTGTGAATGCGTGACTTGACTGTTGTCCATCCATGATGAATAATGACAGGACATCCTCGTAATTATAATAGAGCCCAACACTTGTCTTTTCGACCAGAGAAGAGACCACACAATTGCAGTTCAGTGTGAGTGCCACGCGCGTAATTAGAAGTATAAACAAACAATTTTACAAATTCCTAATTTGGGGGCTACTTCAATATTGAGAGATGCTATATCATTTCTGGGGGGGAAAAAAAAAGAAGTGAGGTTTCTGGTCAGGGCCAATCATGTGTGAGTCTGAAGAAGGCTACCTTGGTGTACCCACCGTGGCTCCCTCTCAGCAAAGCTGACCAGAGTTCTCTCTCACACAGGTAAGTACATGTGTCCAAATCATGGGGAAGTTAAGAAGCCTTTTGGTGCTTTTCAAAGCCGTTCCATTTTCTGTCATCTCTTGAAAGATTGAAGCCTGTGTGTACTGCATTCGTATTACTTATTTTTGAAATAGAACCTTTACTTTCTAAGCCATTTTTAATGCTTCTTTAGTCCTCTAGAGGTTTTCATTCCGCAAGTGTGCAGTTCATTCCCGCTGCATGGCTGGTCTCTTAGGTCTTTGTATGGCTGTCTCCTTCCTTTCTTTGAAGCCTCAGCCAGATGTGACCACCTCAGTAAACCTTCTCCACCTCCCAAGTCCAAATACTTCCTTTGCACCGCCTCCCCTAAACTCTCTGTCCCAACTAGAAGCATCTTTCTTACTTGTGTATAGGTTAGTGTTTTGCATCTACTGTCTCTCCCAGCTGTAGTGTGAGTGCCACGCAAGCCAGGCTCTCGTCCATCCTCTGCACCCCTTTCCTTGAAGCACGCCTGACACCACAGATCAACAATAAGTATTTATGGTGAATTAATTATGAATGAATTAATAGATTCCTGGAAGGCAATGACATAATGCTAGACGCTTGGATATAAAATGAGGAAGACATACATCTATTCTTCAGTTTTGCTCTAAGTAGAGGAGGCAGACATGTACATAAATATAATCCTGTATTCATGATGCTGTAGTACTTGCTAATACAAAGTACAGTGAGGTCACAAAGAAGAGAATGATCAACTCTAAAGGGATAGGGAGGGATCAAGAAAGGCTGCACAAAAGAGTAAAACTTGCTTAATTGGGATTAAACTAATGAGTAGGGGATTCCAGAGTAGGAAAGGAAGGAAAGGCACTTGGGGCATACAGGTGTGACACGTGCGAAGGCTCAGAACCGCAGCACGGAAGAACACAGTGTGGAGGAGGGATTGTCAGCGTGTGGTTACTGGCCTTTGTCTTTTCTCCTTTCAGGTCTGTGGTATTTAGAAATCTGAGGGAGCCAGAAGGAGGCATTTGTGTCCATACATAAACCAAAGTTGTAGAGGTGGAGCTGTGGGTTCCTGAAAGGCGTGGGGATGGCCGTGGAAAGTGGAAGTAAAACCTTGAGTATAGGTGGAAGTAGGGGAGCAGCAGGGCTCAGCATTAGAGCTGCTTGGTCAGTCAACTTTGTCTCCTGCATAGAGGAGCTCTGTCTGTTATTAAACCGTGGCTGTGTTTGGTTTTGCAAAAACAATTAAAGTAGGTTCCTGTCACTCTCAGTTTTAAAACAAATTTAACATTCAGCACATATTAAGGCCACCCAAAAGTTTCAGCAAACATTCTTAGCAGGCAAAGAGGAGTCTTGACCAGTGTTTGTTTGCTTAATTTGGACTTGTATGGGGGGAAAAAAGAAAGTAACCTGAACATGAAATCTGCAGCCTGGTAGGACTGTGAACTATGGGGGAAATCTAACATTTGAAATAGTCACATATTATATAAGATGAGCACAAAGATGTTGGACTCCCACCATGAAATCGGATAAGGCTTTGATTAATCATGGGGAGCTATCCACATTTTGCTCTCTATTCTCTAATTACGAATATAAATATTCTCTGCATTTAAAAAAATGTCTATCTGGGGCTAAGTGACAGGGGTTTATTTATTTGTTTTCCAAATAGAAACATCTTTGTAAGTCTGTTTATCTCTCCCCTTCTTTGTGAATGTAAAATCAGCAAGTGTTTGATAGTGACAGACAACAATAAACTTTTCTTGTTTATCCGTGTGCCAAGTACTGAGTTAAGGATCCAAAGATCAGTACGATAGGGTCCTTCCTTTAAAGGAACTTATAAACTCTATGGAAGCGAAGTACATGTGCAGGGAATCATTTAAAGCAAGATGGAATGGGTCTGGTTCTCGAAGCAGTAGGAGTTCAGAGAAGGCAAAAACTATCCATCACAGAAAAAAAGAACAAAAGTCAATTTTGTAATACAGGGTCTCAGTGAGGAAGATTTGGATCTTAGGAAATATGTCTATAGATTCAGTCATATAAATCAGAATTGTGTGTGATAACTTTATAGTTTCTCCTCAATTCAGCAACTAAATATCTCAGCCACTAGGGACTGACTTATTTTTACAGAGACCAACTAAAGTGGAAGAATGCTCCCTCTTCACCTTGACATGGATCTTTCCTTAAATCTTCTTCTGGGATCTTCTGTGTATTGTTTTATGATGCTTTTAGGGTCTTGTCTAGTCCTGAGTTTCTGGATTTTTCTCAAATGTATGTTGACAGTTCCTTTTGAAAACACAGGGTGTCTGACCAGCGCCTCAGGTTTGCTCAGCTCTACTCTCTCTTGTTCTCATGGTCACAGCACAGGCTGTCGGTCAGGGAGCCATCAAATTCCCCAAGTGAGGTATTCGACGGACCTCGCCAATAGCATTTTTTACAAAGATGTAAGTTCCAAACCTTTCATTAGTTCGAGATGAACTTCAGAATGCAGTAATCTTTATGTTATCAATGTAGAGATCACTGGTACAGTGAAATCAATATTATAAGTTCTCTCAGCCCCAAACATGTTCCATAGACCAAACGTCTCTAAGATGTAAAATTTGAGAAGCCTGCTCATACTAGCCTCTTGGAGATTTCCAGTACCCATCAAACTCTCAGAGAAATGCTTCAGTTTAAAAAAAAAACAAACTTGTTTAATTTAAAAATTTCTTCAACTTATTTCAGTATGAAACTCTTTGGTTTTCTTTGGTGGGGGTGCTGCTTAATATTAACTTTCTGAGAAGACTGCCTCTGGCAGTATTGCTCCAACCCATGAAGTCTCACAAGCACTGGATGATGGGATAATCATAGGCTTTGATAAATATCATGCAGCAAGTTTCACAGTCATCCCTAGGTTGACTAAGCATTGAGAAGTCTCTCAGACCTCACCACTCTCTTCTTCTGATTTTGAGGAAGATGTTGTTCTCTGAGTACCGAGGGCCTAGCGCAGGAATCAGCTCAGCGTTACTGTGTTTGAGAAATGTGTCATGAGGAAATGTGGGCAACTTATTAATGAACAGCCACCAGACTATAAATGCCTATGAACTCCACCAAACTGCAACAAGATTCAAGTTTTGCTAAGTCCAATACCACAGACCAAGAGGTATAGATGTGTTTGAATAGAAATGTAAGAATGTTTCATAACAGCAGATAACTTGGACCTTTAAAACCCATTGTTTCACTTAGCATCATGTTCTCCAGGTCCATCCATGCTGTTGAAAAGGGTAAAATTTTCTTCTTCTTTTTAAAAGTGTTTTTTTTATGGCCAAGTAGTATTCCATTATGGAAATGTACCATAGTTGTTTTATCCACTCATCTGCTGATGGACACTTAAGAAATAAGCCAGTCAGAGAAAGACAAATACCATATGATTTCACTCAGATGTGGAATCTCATGAATAAACTGAACTAACAAGTAAAATAGAGACAGACTCTTGGATAGAGAGCAGGCTGACAGCTCTGGGGTTGGGGATGGGGGGAGGTGGAGGGATTGAGTAAAAAAGAAAAAAGACACATGGTCAAAGACAACAGTGTGGTGATTGTAGGGGGAAGGGAAATGTGGAGGTGGAAGCGTGTGTTACTGGGATAGATGGTGATGGAAAAAAATATAATTAAAAAATGGGGGAAAAAACTGTGAACTGGGCAACCTTCCCTAAAGCTGAGTGTGTCATTTGGGAAAGAAAAGGAACATTTCATTATTTGGGGTCCTGTTGTGCCGGTGTCATCCCACCTGCTATCTCCTTTACTTTATACAGTTATGCTTTTGCAGCAGGTGTTATTTGAGGATTCTTTGGAAGAGAAAAATGTAGCCGAAGGGGTGAAAGTAAGCTAAGGCCACTAGCTAGTGTGCAGTGGGTCTAAGACCTGAACCCAAACCCATATGATTTCCAGCCTGTATTGTTCTTACTAAGCCCATGCTAATTCTCACCAAATTCCTAAGCGTAAAGTACATGCCACAGTCTCCTGAGTCTAATATCACACATCTCCATATTTTCCTTTTTTCTCTAAATCACTCTTCCTGGCTTTCGTGCATTCAGTATCCTTTGGCAGCTGACTGCATCTAGGACTCCTCTAGAATACAGTGGCATTTTTGTGGAAGCTTGACTTGAAGTCCCTTTTGATTTTTCTGAAAAATTTCTAAAGGAGTTGACTATATGTTACTGGATTATAAACAGATTCCTGTGCCAACAGTCTTTGTTAAAACTAGTACTCCTAAAATAAGTGTGAGAAGCATTCTGTTAAACAAAATGGAGTATTTTTTTCAATAACAGAACTTGTTAGAGCCAATTTGTACTAAGAATCTTTAAGAGGAGGGCACAGAGTAGAGTTGCCATGTATTTCTGATGATCAGAGATCTCTTGGAGGAACCCATAATTGTGGAATGTTACTGGGAAATGCTGATTCAATCTAGTAGTCTGCTCATTGTAATTTTTATTTTGGAGTGTTGCTTTTTAACAATACTAGTGACCAGAGTCATAATATATTTTGTTAAAATAACATATGAATAACACCCTCACTTTATCAAGAGTTGGTACTCATCAGTTGCTTTTGGATGAATCTATACCCAAAGTAGAGTCCTAGACATAATAACATATATAGCTCTGGCACTGTGTGAGGGTACACTCACTCAGCTACATTTTGGTGCAAGACGTTGTCCCTGTCTCTTGTTTAGTTTAGGTTAATAGTCAAGGTAGACCCCACTGATATTGTACATTCCGAATTTTCCATTTTTTTTGTCTTTCTCTCTTCTCGCTTTCTATGATACCTTGTACATTAAATCTTTCTGAGGAGAATAAAATTTACTGTTTCATCCTTCATATATTCTGGTTATAAAAGCTATTTCTCATTTCGATTTAAAACTCTCAGTTTTAGATACTTGTTATAATACTTGGTCTTATTGGATCTCTAGGAAACAGATGTGGTACCAGACACCAGGCTTTTGGACAAATTTAGTCAGATTACACCTCAGCTCTTCATCCCGCTAGATGAGTCTGTCCCAAAGCCACCGTCAGAAACTCTCTACATCATCGACTTCTTCATTGCCTTGGCGATTTGCAACACAGTAGTGGTTTCTGCCCCTAACCAACCAAGACAAAAGGTAAGGCCTCTGATGCAAACAAGGGTCACCTTCCAGCAGAGAACTTAGCATTTAAATGTACTGGTCTTGTTATGTGGATAATAATTAATAATAACAACAGTAGCCAGTAATAGCAATTTAACCTTTCTACAGCACTTAATCTGTGCTGTGCACTTATAATGTTCTAAGTGATTGATCAGTATTAACATATTTAATCCCCCAAGCAGCCCCATGAGTTAGGATTCATATGATTCTTCTGTAATTTCCTGTTTTACAGTGGAGGTTAAGCAGCTTGCCCGATCACAGGAGGGCAGTTGATGAAAGCAAGGCTTGTGGAATGGGGCTCTGTTCATTTTGCTTTCGTTTTCTTACCAAATTGCAGCTTTCTTTCAGGCTGCTGAGACCTCCCACATAGTACACACTGCATCAAGCAAGACACAAAGTACTGGATTTATTATTATGTTTAATGATAATGTCCTCTTTTCATGTACCATTTGAGTTAGCTTTAGCTCGATCAATCTAAAATCCACTGCATCTGCAATATACCGAGGATCTGCAAGTCCCACAAAAGCCAGATTTCTAAAGTCTACTTGTAGCTTAGAATTCATGGGAAATTCGTTTTCAATTAAAAAGGAAAAGTTGTTTTAGAAACTGGCGATTCGCCACTTGCTGTGCTGGCTTCCTTGGGTCTGACTATCTCCCCTTCCGCACACATCCACTTAAAATTCAATTTGCAGCACAACCCAATTAAGTTTTAATTTTCCATCAGATCATTTTCTTCTGGCAAATTCAGAGGTGGTCAACTTTAACATAAAAATAATTTACTTCCAATTAAGCTTTCATTTGATCAGAAACTGTATTTTTATAAAATTTCAACTAGAAAGTTATCCCCCGAAAAGTGATTATAGAATTAGAGAGTAAACGACTGGATGTTCTGTTTTCTCCCAATATAACACTTCACAGCCAGCTATTTCCAAAGTCGGCATCTTGTGGTGTTTTCTGCTTAAGAAATATTGGTACCTTATCCCTAAAGAATGTAATCTTCTCTAGCTGAAAATAAAATTTCTGCAGGCATATAGGAGCCTAAGTTTCATGATATTTCAAGGCAATGATAGAGAGGCAGTGAATAAGGAGCTAATCAGAACTCCCGTGGGACCCAGGAACATCATTCATGATTGAGCATCGCTTTTCATTTCTGAGTTCTAGCAAGTTGGAAAATTGACCATCGTGAGTTGCTCAAAGTATCATAAAATTAAAAATCTTTAGGAGAAAACTTTTTAATTCCTTGGGCATTTCTGAATGAGAAAAATTTAGGATCCAATTAACTGGCCTTCATAATCTAATATGCTATTATTGAATAGTTAATTTGCTTACAATTTTTAAATTGTTATTGCTAGGATGCATACAATAAAGATTATTGATTTTCCTATATTTTAAATTAGCTCATCAGGAAAAATTGCTAATAAGTACACGCACGACTAGTAGTATTAGCATTGTCTTCTGCTATCTGTTGTCTAATTTCTTCCTAAATGGTTGCAGAAATTCACAATGCCATCAGCATAGGCACATCTTTTTCATAATGGCTATTTTTATTTTTGTTAATGTTTTCCGTGGCAGGTGTAAGCATGAGGCTGGCTGCTGTCTATTTAAGGGAGGGGCAGCTCTTTGTATCTAACTCTCTCCCAGTTTGACTTCCAAGTTGTCTTAAAATGCTTTTGTATATTCTTATTGAGACCTTCCCAAATTCTTTCCTAGATCAGACTCTCTTCGCTAAGTGGAATGCCCATTAAGTCTTTGGAAGAGATTAAAAATCTTTTTCAGAGATTGTCTGTCCGAAGATCGAGTTCACCATCTCTTGCCAGTGGGAAAGAGCCCTCGTCTGGGGTCCCCAGTGCCTTTGTGAGCAGACTCCCTCTCTTCAGCCGAATGAAACTGGCTTCCCCCGTGGAGGAAGAGGTCTCCCATGCTGGCGAGAGCCCTCAGGGCTCTGGTAGCGCAGCCTGCCCTACAGAAGCAGAGAAACAAAACGGTGATGCAGGCGTCACCAGTGTCCAGGCGGATGCCCCCGCCGGACAGCCCGTGGCCTCCCACCTGTGTTACGAGGCCGAGAGCCCAGACGAAGCGGCGCTGGTGTATGCCGCCAGGGCTTACCAATGCACTTTACAGTCCCGGACACCAGAGCAGGTCATGGTGGACTTTGCTGCTTTGGGACCATTAACATTTCAACTTCTGCACATCCTGCCCTTCGACTCAGTAAGAAAAAGAATGTCCGTTGTGGTCCGACACCCCCTGTCCAACCAAGTTGTGGTGTATACGAAGGGTGCGGATTCTGTAATCATGGAATTGCTCTCCGAAGCTTCCCCAGGTGGGTTTGTACAGAGCTGAGAGGGGAGTGGTATGAAGGGCTTGCAGGTTAAAAGACCACTTCCAATGGTTTTATGAAGGCAAACACGCAGGTGTGTGCGGATCGATCACACTTGGTGAAATAGGGAAAGCTCACTAGGATGTGGTGAGAAAGCATCTCAAGTTTGGGGCTCCCCAGACCTGGGTTCAAATCTGGCTTCTCTCATTAGCTGTATCTTGATAAAGTTACCTGACTTCTCTGCCTAAATCCTCAGTAAATGGGGATTATATTATCTTGCTTATACGTTCCTCAGATTTAATGCCATACTGCGTACAATGTATGTACAGCCTTTGCCCAGTGCCTAACAAATGGTAAGCGCTTGATGAGCAACTGATAGCATTATTATAGTTACGTTATTGATGGTGTGGGAACAGTATTTGTATTAAGTTCTTGGTATTTTCCTCTCCCCAGGTAGAAGGAACAAGGGAAAGATGAACTCTGAGGGCCCTTTTATAAATGTTTATTTGAGATTCAAAACCACAAGGCCTTTTGTTGTGGGTTTAGCTATTATTATTTTTACAGATCTGTCTGTAATTGGGCAGACTGGTGGGAACACCTGTGTTTTGTTCATTATTTCAGATGGAGCCAGTCTGGAAAAACAGCAGGTGCTAATAAGGGAGAAAACCCAGAAGCACTTGGACGACTATGCCAAGCGAGGCCTACGCACTTTATGTATAGCAAAGAAGGTGAGGCTGCTTAGCACACTACCTGTCCTTGCCTGCCAGGTAATTTGATTTAAAAGCACCTGACATCCCCTGGGCTACTTTTGTACTGAAGAGGCAGAGGGTTTCTTTGGATCTTGAACTCCCCATTCTCACAACTAGGTGTGAATAGATACAAAGTGCCTCACCCCCCTCTACTTCAGCTGCTTTATAGGAACTTAAATGCAGCCTCTCCCTCTCTGGCAACCTGAAGACAAAGGAAAATGAATCATTTGTTCCTTCCCAAGGAATTCCATTCAATTTGTGTTTGGAACCCGACTTTTTGGCCTCACCAATGTGGTCCCCTCTCTCTTTTTACGTCTGCCAATGACTGACCCCGTCCACCACCCATCAAAAGACATCAGAGCTGCTGCTGACTTCAATACCTCCAACTGAACAGTGTGGATACCAGTTTCTCAACTGCACCATTAGAATTACTCTAAACTAAGCTAAGCTCCTAGCTGCATGCTCTCTGATGTAATTAGATTCACCCAGCTTCCTCCTCTGTGGTGCCTGGGATTCCCCAGAGATGCTGAGCTATAGGGTTCATCCATCAGCAGTGTTGCACTAGACTGATCATGGAATTTGGGAAGCTTATGACCAGGTACATGAGGGTATGGACTTGGCATGAGTGTGCCCAGAGAGAGAAAGAATACCTGAAATAAGTAGATGGCTTCTCTAGGAGTTAGTCCTGGCACAGTCATCGTATGGTCGGCCTCAAAGCTCCTTTCCATCCCCTCCCCCCATAGGTCATGAGTGACACTGAATATGCAGAGTGGCTGAGGAATCATTTTTTAGCTGAAACCAGCATTGACAACAGGGAAGAGTTACTACTTGAATCTGCCATGAAGTTGGAAAACCAACTAACCTTACTTGGTAGGTAGACTATGTTATGGTTTCTGAATGCAGAATTTTGAAAAACATTTGACATTGCTAAGGTACTGACTGGTTATTTTCCCACTTGGATGTGATGTATGTGGTTCTGCCCACCCTGTTCGGGCACACCTCTGCCTGCCTTCCAGTCCTTTCCATTTTGTTCCCCACTACAGTGAACTAGACTCTATTTGTAACGAGGTCAGGGCGGTTGTTCTTCAGAAAGTCATTTAAAAACCCAGCACTTAGCATAGAATACAAAGTCGAATAAATATCCTGGTTCAAGGGGTGCAAGCTAAAGTTTCTTGCCAGGTATTGGGTGCGTTACTTAATATGGGTTGTCTTTTTGAATCTGCACAATGGAACTTCATTTTATTATGAAGAAACTTGGGGCACAGAGCAGTTTCATGACTTGTTCGAAGGCACATGTTAGTAACCGACAAGGCTGGGCACAAACTGGGGCCTGCCTGGCTCCAGGGCCCCTGTTCTTTACCCGGCTGGATTAGGGGCATTTATTTCCCCATCTTCTCTTACTTCCTTATTTCGACCAAAGGTCACACAACTGACACCTCTTGTGTCAGATCGAGCTGCGTCTTGAAATCTTCTGGAGCACTATTGGAAGTACTGGCGCCTGCATCCTGCGCCCAGCAATGCTGATTCAGTCGCTCGGATGTGTGGCCTGGACATGGAATGTTTAAAAGCTCCCCAGGTGATTCTAAGAGGCAGCCAGGGTGGAGAACCACTGCCTCAGAGTCTGGAGATTGAGTTTCTAATAGAAGCACTAACACACCAATAAGCCAACCTCTGAGCCCCATCCCTTTGGTTCAGAGAAAAACGCTGATCTCGCCTGGCATCTGGCCAACAGAGGAAAGATGCCCCCTGCTCAGTCATTTCTCAGTGACAGTGGGAGTACTCTGGGTCCCCATTTCCTCAACTGAAATCCCAAACTCCAGAATGCTCTGTGGGCTGAGGGCTCAAACTCACTGGGCAGGAAGACAAGTCTGACCGGATAAGACTGTTTATAAGTCTTTATGATCCTAATGAGTGGGAACATTTGTATGTTTTGCTGCAGAAATATTAATATGCTAGATTACCAAATACTACAAAAATAAGATGTATGCACCATATTACCTTTTCAGATTTTCAGAACTTTTGAACTCCAAAACTTACCTGGCCTCGTTTCAGAAAAGGGAGCGATGGGCCTATACTGTGAAAGGCCACTGAAAATAGAGATGTTATGTCTCACCGACAAAAGCATTCTTTAAAATTCTGCCCTCGCCCTTGGGAGTATCGTAGGATTATGAAATTGTAGAGCAAGATTACATTAAGTAACTGAAAAAAGTCCCCCTCAATTTACAGAAAAGGAAGCTAGCCAAAAGGAGAACAAGGAAGTTTTATAAACTCATTGATTCCTAAGGCCCTTCTGAAAAGACTGCTTTGGATATGGTTTTGTTCTGGGTCTTCACACTCCTTTGGATCCCTGGAAGTTACTGGAGCAAGACTGGGTTGGCTAACAGATACAGTTCAATTATAGCCCAAGTGAGCGTCAGCTGGCTTTAGTTTCTCACAAGCCCCTTGGCCCTTGGTCAATCTTTAGGTGCTACGGGCATTGAAGACCGTCTGCAGGAGGGAGTCCCCGAGTCTGTAGAAGCCCTTCACAAAGCCGGCATCAAGATCTGGATGCTGACGGGGGACAAGCAGGAGACAGCTGTCAACATCGCTTACGCGTGCAAACTGCTGGAGCCAGAGGACAAGCTCTTTATCCTCAATACCCAAAGTAAAGTATGTATGACGAGATGACACCAGTCTTTTTTGTTTTTCCAAAGCCAGTGGAGCACTTGTGATTTGATGACTGCAAGGAGAAAGAAAAACCGGTAACCATTAGCTCCTTGACAGTCATTTATTCTATATCGCAGCCTGGCTCATGCTTGCGGGAGGGTATCCTCTCTTCTATAGGGTTGGTGAAACTTCAGAGGAATCATTGCTGAATAAAGGCATTAAAAGAACATCTTTTTAATTTATTTACTTTTTCCTCCTCCACATTGGGAGGGTTACCAGAGATTTGACGAGACTTAGCCCATAATGACACCATGCATCAAGCTCTGGGACAGAAATATATCTCCCTTTCAAGTTGAGGGGAAGTGATGATTTCTATTGGAATCAGATGAATATTATTTTCCTGGTAATTCTAAAAATAGACTCTTGAGGTAAGCCTGCCCTCTAGTGGTAATTCTTAGGTAGTGCTCCTAAGATTTTAAAAGTTGGAAGATTTAAGGGAAAAGAAAGACTATCTTTTTAAGGTGAGGGAACGTACAAGTTTAGACCCAGCCGTTTTTTATCAGTCCTTCCCACCCCCGCCCAATATTTAACACAAACATTCTAATCAGTGAATAAGCATTTTATTTTATTCAGAAGTTTCCTAGTATAATGATATTCTAAGGTTTATGCATATTACTTAATTAGCTTGGAAAACCTTCCTCACTAGTCATACTTAATCACTGACATCCACTCTGTTACAGCAGCCTGCCCCCCAAGTCCTCGGGAGCCTGTCATCCCGATCACATCTTGGGCCCTTGTCACAGGCTGCCATGTTTGGTGGCCGTGTCTTTAGGATCAGGCCTCAGTCAATACCCAACTAGATCGCACACTTGAGGAAAGAAAATGTTCCTCCTTCAACACAGAGTAGGTTCCCTTCGGCAGTTGGCAGTGGCCCAGGGACCCGTAACCACAACCTTCAGCCAGCTCCCAGTACCAGCCAGGGGCGGGGCTCAAGGAAATGCTTAGTCATTTTAATCACGAAATCGGTTGAGCCCTAAGGCTGGTAAGACCCAGGTTCAAATGCTTGCCCTGCCAGTGACCAAGTGTGTGACCTTGGGGCGTTACCTTCCTGAGCCTTTTCCTTTCCTGGAATGTGAAAGCCATGCCTTTGTCAGAAGGTGTTGTAAACATTAAATGAGAAAATGTAAACTGTAATGGTGTGCCTGGCAGATGCAAGGGGTTCAGTGAACATTTAAAAAGAAAAGTAAACAATTCTTGGTGTTTGATTTTGAATTTGATATTTGTGGGAGCAGTAAAATTTTTAGGATTGTGAAATTTATTTGTAAATATACAATTTGCAGTAAAAGCATTTAACATTACCAAGTCAAGAAGTCTTTACAATGTTACAATATATCAACTGTGGACTGTTCTAAATGCAAAAGTCTCCGGTGGAGGGTCCTTGTTGTTTTTTCCCTATCAGTACTGTTCTAGCTATGCAAATTTCACACAGGTAGAATAAACAGAACACAGTGAACTTAATTTAGGATGACTCAAGTCCATTCATACAAAATGCCAGGCACTTAGTAGGGGCTCAGTCACTGGTATTATTTCCTCTTTCCCCCACTCTCCACCCCTCAGGAGATGCTAAGAGTTAAAGAAAAGGAAGATTATGGAGCCAAATTTGTCATTTAGGGAACAGCTTGCTCCTGTGGCATTCTAAGTGAGCCACCTGGCGACTAATGGAGCGTGCACTCATTTCTACAGTGGAGTACCTCAGCTTTACAAATTCCCATCGACTTTTGTTCCTAAATTGGTATATTGGATTAGAGTAAATGTAGTCACTTACAAACTGTAGAAAATTTCCATTCTCATTAAAGTCTTTTTGATTTTTTGTTTTAATATAATTATTTCCTAGATTAATTACTGCTCTGTGATATAAAAAGTCCTTTCAGGGTTCATCATTTCGTTTTTAAGTTTTATTTTTATAATTTTTATTTAAAATTTTCACATAAGATAGTATCTCTTTATTTTCATGTTTATTAGACTTTATAAAAGGCTATTTCACACATGATCTCATTTGACAGTTATAGCAAGTGAAGCAGATAGAATTACAGAATCCCTGTTTTAGAGCCTGAGACTCCCAAAGGTTCCGATGATTGGCCTAAGCACCTGTAACTGATTACTTGTCAAGTGTGTTTTCTAAATTATATGACACAATTTATATCTATATATATTTATATACAGTTGATTCTCATTATTCATTGAGTTAAGTTATATAAAGTTGTCGCAAACACTGTGTTAGCCAATAGTGACCCATTACCCCCAAGGGATAGGGATTAGGTTCCCATGAGCCTCTGGTCACGACTTTCTTGTCAATCAATCAATACACAACCTTGTTTATCTGTGTTTTTGTTTAAAGACATTTTATTATACGCATACACACACACTTGATTCATTAACATCGAACAACACTATAACTCACACCTGAATGAAGCTTAGCTAACTCTAGATAGCACTTTAGTATTATGCTTTGAGACCATTTTAAGTGGTGAAATCACTAACAAAAAGTACAAAAATGTGAAAAATGTGAAAATGTGTCACTGAACAGATAATGAAAAGGACAGTTGTTTACAGTTTGGGTGCTGACATAAGAAGGCAGAGCATCACCTTGTTCAGCTTCCGCCGGGCAGGTGTACAACTCAGGACTTGCTCTTTCTGTCACTCTGCCCTTGTCCACACATGGCTGCAAAAGCACCATGAGTATTAATTGTACATACATACTTCTGAAATGGAAGTATAATTAATTTATAAAATTAAACACATACATATGTAAATAAGAGGATAAAAACATCTATATAATCAATCTAGGATCATAAAACTATAGAAGGTTGTGCCCGTGTGTGGGAGGACATCCACTCAGACCGTGTTCCCTACTCTATGAGCATATGAAGGCTGCAATACAGTATTTGTAGTATTGGGGCCAGATTTGCCCCAAAGGTAAAGGTTGCCCAGTACATCCATTTTAAAGTTGAATCTCTTTACTTATCGTTTATGCAGTTATTAAGTCTTTGTTGTGTCATGGCTGCCTATCCATACCTACTTCTTTCCTCCCCATCTTTTTTTGTTGTGAGTTGATAAATGCTTGATAAAACAGCATTTGAAATAAGAGTAAATGGCCCCTGAGTGAAGGCTCTTTCACGAATACACTGTTTCAGGCTTAGCCTATGACCATAAATACACTGCTCCTGGATTTTGCTTGGCTGTGTTCTTAGTGGTCATTTGACACAACTTCTGGATAAGTTCATTGTTAGTCCTCTTGAGTAGAATTCATTCGGTGAGTATTTATCGAGTGTGTGGTATCGCCCTCTTTTAGGCATTGTGAAGGCTTCAAAAGTAAATCAAAAGAACTTCCTAACTAGTGTGGGATGAGGCAAGTGGAGGGTGCACACCCACGAAACGTGATGAGCACCACTGGGACCGTCTCAACCAGAACATACGTGCCCCAAGGGCAGGGATTTGGTTTCATGGCAAATCCCCCGCACCTAGAATGTTTTCTCATTCACGGTAGTTCCTCTATAAATACTTAGTGAATGAATGCATTAAATCAAAAAGGATATAAAAACAATAATTACTGATCTAAATCCTGCTCTGTGTCATGCCCTACATTTTGTGTGCATGACTTCACTTATTCCTTCCAGCGATGTTGTGATGTAGACAACATTTACATTTTTTCAGATGAGAACCGTGAAGTTACATAATTTGCCTAAAGTCAAGCAACTTGTAAGTGGCAGAATAAGACCAAAAGGCTCTTGAGATTCACTGTTTGAGAAGGTAAAAATGCACAAATAGAGAAATTCTTTAACTATCTCTTAGCGGTAGAATTGGGCACAAGATGACCCCATCTTTTTAACCGCTCCCCACATACACACACAAGGCGTGGAGAAAGAACTCTCAGATCTTCGAACGTAACCAGTCATTCCCTACCAAGGGTTGCCTTGGTCCAGTGATTGCTGAAGAACGACAATGACAAATTTAGCTCCGTGTGGCCTCCCCTGTGCCCCAATGCTAACTGTCTTTGCCTCTTGTTTCAAGGATGCCTGCGAGATGCTGATGGGCACAATTCTGAAAGAACTTCAGAAGAACCCAGCCTCTCCAGAGCAAGCATCATTACGGGAGGGCATCCCCCCGCCTCCCGCCCCCCACGACTGCAGGCTGCGGGCCGGACTCATTATCACGGGGAAGGCCCTGGAGTTTGCCCTGCAGGAGAGTCTGCAGAAGCAGTTCCTGGAGCTGACTGCCTGCTGCCAAGCGGTGGTCTGCTGCCGAGCCACGCCCCTGCAGAAAAGCGAGGTGGTGAAATTGGTGCGCAACCACCTGCGGGTGATGACCCTGGCCATTGGTGAGTGGGGATGACACCCTGCCCCGTGCCTCTCACTTTCATGCCTCACCGGGGGCTGGTCCTTCTGCCTGTTCTCCCGTCAGGACATCCTTTTACTCTTCTGGCTGGCGGTGCTCTCCCCCCGCCCTCTTTTTCTTCTTGCTTTCTCTCCATCCCCCCACTCCATTCCTGTTTCCCTCCATCGCCTATTTGACCGCCTGCTATGAACCAGGTGATAGGGATGGGGCAGTACAAGGGGGGGACTCCAAAGAAACGGGAATTATCTTCAGGAGGACGGGCCCCTTCCTTGTCGTACGGGCTCTCCGTGCTACATGGGTGTCCCAGGGACCCGCGTGTATCCGTGTGCCGGCTGCTGGCGGGAGGCTGTCAGTGGGTTTTTTTGAAGACCGTCTCCACACGTTTGCCCACTTCCTGGTGGGGGATGTACGAGTGCACCTGCCCCCACTGCACTGAGTGGTCAGCAGTTTTTGACCAAAAACGACATGACCTCTATGCCCCACCTCCCCATTCACCCGCTCTCACCCCGAGGGACTTTTTTTGTTTCCCTGGATACAAAACGTCCTAAAAGGGACACAGTTTGCTGATGTGGAAGAGGTGAAACAAAAAACAGCAGAAGCACTAAAAGGCTTCAAAATCAGCAAGTTCAAAAACTGTTTTGAGCCATGGAAAAATGTCTCGATAGGTGTATTGCATCAAATGGAGAGTACTTTGAAGGTGATTGACGTTTAAACATGTAAGAATAAGTACGCAAGTTATTATAAATAAATTCCAGGGGTTTTTTTGGGTCCCCCATTGTATAATAGTCAAGACTCTTTGGATTACATGTGAGAACCCCAAATCAACTGACTTAAGGAGGGTAATGTACGGAATCATGGAGCTGAACACTCTTAAAAGTTCACCTTCAGGAAAGCTTAATTCAGGTGCATTAACAATTCCTTTGTTCATCTATTCAACACATATTTATGGAGTGCCTTGAATGTGTCAGACATTTTTCTAAGCAATGGAGTAAAAACATATACAACTGACGAAGCACCTTTTTCTTAAGCATAAATATGTAAGATCAGATAGTAACAAATACAACTAAGAAAAAAAACAGAGCCTGGGGATGTAGAGCATTTAGGGGAGTGAGCAGCAGCTGCAACTTTAAACATTATACTGATAAGGCTGTGTGAGAGGGAAGACTTGAAGGAAATGATAAGCAAGACACGTGAGATCTTTGGGAGAGAACATTCTGGGAGAAGACAGCGAGAGGGAAGGTTGGTGTGCTTGAGGCCAAAGCAGATGGAAGGAGAGGAAGAATTGTCTGCAGGTTAGTGAAGGACAGAGAGGTGGCAGGTGGCCAGGCCATGTATGTTCTTGGAGGCTGCTATCAATTTTTGGCTTTTATATGAAGAAATAGTGAGTGATTGGAGGACTTTGAGCAGGGGAAGGACATGGTATGCCTCACAGTTAGAAGGATCACATGTGTTTGCTGTGTTAAGAGTAACTGTTGGGATACAAAGCCAGGAGTAAGGAAACAGGCTGAGAGGTTTTGAAATCATGGAGGCAAGAGATGATGGTGGCCTGAGCCCAGATGGAAGCGGAGGCAGAGGAGGAGGTGGGACAGGGTCAGGCAGTGGACATGGTTTGAGGAAAGAGCTGGTGACATTTGCTGATGAACTTGACATGCTGTATAATAGAAGGAAGTAAGGGGGACAACACGGTTTTGTCTCAGAAGAATGGAAAGGGAGGAGCTGCCATTTACTGGGATAGTCATGCGTTGGGTTTTACACACATCACCTTTGAAAAGTCCATCAGGTGTCTAAGCAATGACGTCAGGTATGCAGCTGGATACAAAGGCTAGAAGTATGGAGTTGGGAATCATAAGTCTAGGGATGATATTTAAAGCCTCAATAGTAGAGGGGATCACCAAAAATGAACATATATGGAGAAAAGAAGTAGCGTGAGTTTAAGCTCTGAGACATTCCAGTGTTTAGTGATGAGCAAGAGGAGGACTCAGCCATGTCTTTCAGTTTCTGTTTTCACCTGGATTGTTTTCAGTCAAAGGAGGTTCCCCTCCTCAAGATGCTGATACAGCCATCAGAAATTCCCAGATTGACATTCTGTCCTGGTAACAGCCTGAGTGAAAAGATAGCATCTCTTTTGAAGATTTTGGAGTAAAGTATCAGGATTAAGGCAGAATTTTGTTCAACTATTTTATTGAATGAACATTACCAATGAATGAATTGGTCAAGCCCCCAGATCCAAATATTCCTGAGGCTGGACAAACCCCGGGACATGTCAATTATAGCAATTAAGTTGAGGCGCATGCCTGTATCTGAACCAATCACTGAGGCCAATTAACAGGTGATGCTAATTGTCCAGATTTGGGTCGGTTGTCCATCCTAAATCTGGGGGTTTGGGTTTGTCTTCACAAACCACATGGACTCAGAGTTCCCAAGGAAAATCACAACACTATTCCCAGAAACCAGGTGAACAGTTGGTGGGCATTTGGGAACAACAAATATTAAGTACCAACAGAATATAGTAGCTCCTCTTAAGAAGCTTCCAGTGTTGGAGAGACCAAGCAGTCTATAGCAAGCATAATACTGTGTGAAGGGTATGCTAGAGATACATGGGGGGAGGGGCGGGTGTGGAGCCTAAGGAAGGGGCATCTGATCTAAAGCGAATATGAGGAGGGTCTCCCAGAGGAAGACATCTAAGCTGGCAGCAGGAGCAGATGAAATCCAGCAAGGCGGGGTGGGCGCGATGAGGACAGTGTTATAAGACAGTGAACCCCCATGTGCAGTGGCTGGAAGAAGCAGGTTGTATCTGGAAGATTGAGGGCAGCCCGGGTGGCATGGAGAAAGGAGAGATCAGTCCAGAAGGGCCCCATAGCATGAAGGAATTTAAGAGTGTGTTGAACTTGGAATTCATCCTGTTGGTAGTGGGATCCCACATTCAATTTCTGCTTAACTAGCTTCCAGGCAACTTGGAGACATGGGATAGACTTTGAAGAATCTGTATGTTTGCTGGAGTAGTCAGTACTGATTTGCAACGTTTGCATCATTTCTTTACTCCTCATATGTTTCTCATCTTTTCTTCTTTCCCATTAAGGTGATGGAGCCAATGACGTTAGCATGATACAAGTGGCAGACATTGGGATAGGGATCTCTGGTCAAGAGGGCATGCAGGTGAGTGGACGTGATGCACCCAGATTCCATGAACTTGACCTGCCCATCCAAGGCAACATTCTTTGTGGTAAAATCTCTGTTGTGTTAATAGAATGAGTCTGTGTGGTTAGCTCAAGAAAGGGAGACAGGAACTTTTTCCATTTATTCATTGATTATTTACTGGGGAAGTATTAAGGTATTTTCCTGGGTAATTTTAGCTGCGTGGTTCACTTGTTCAAATTATAAAATATAGGTAATCTAGATCAAACAATATATATAATATATAATATAAAATATAAAAAATAGAGCTAATCTAGATCAAACTCTGTGTGTGTGTGTACACGTACACATATATATATTAGCCCGGAATTAACGGTGTGACTTTTGCAACTGACAAAAGGTGCTAAAGATTTGAACAAATGACCTGGAAACTCTAAAGAAAGAGGGAGAGAAGGAGCAGATAAGAGAATGGGGGAGGCGGGGGAGTCCTGTGTGCGTGCGTGGGTGCGTATGTGTCGGGTGGTGTTTAGGCACGACATTCAGATAGAAGCTTATCTGAGAGACAGCTTTCTGTGTATGGAGCAGATGTTGTCGGAGGAAGATGGGATGTGAGACTTAGGGTTTCCCAAGAATTGTAAATTACGACATCTGTACGAAAGATTAGAAATTCAAGGATCTCTTTGCCTGACACAATATACAAAGTTACATAAAATCATGACTGCAATTTAGATATTCTCCTCCTTGAAGAGAAGTGAGTGCACACTGTAATGCATAGCGTTCTTGCTAAGGGAGCTGCTTTCCAGGGAAAGCACACTTGAAATTACATCATGAATAGTAACCAAAGAGAAGTCCGATTTCATTCAGCTATGCTGGGAAGCTGAGTAGGACCCTCAAGCAGCCTGTTATGAAGGCTCTTGTAAAGGTTTTGGTTTTTTGGAGGTTTCTGTTTGTTTGCGTTTGTGGGTTTGTGGGGAGGGGGCAGTTTGTTGTTGTTTTTGTCCGCATGTAACACTTAAACCACATGTTTGACTAATCCCAGCCTGGGGGGGCGGTCAGGTTGCCATGGGGTCTGTGCTCTGACACGTTTGATCGCTCAGCGTGGCGCCCTCTTGTCATTGCCTCCACAGGCTGTGATGGCCAGTGACTTTGCCGTTTCTCAGTTTAAGCATCTCAGCAAGCTCCTCCTTGTTCACGGGCACTGGTGTTACACACGGCTTTCCAACATGATTCTCTATTTTTTCTACAAGAATGTGGTATGTAGCTCTGGAGAACTTAGCCCTTCCCACCTTTCAATCCTACTTGCTTCAGGGATGACAAGGAAGTGCCCTACACTAAGCCCCCTTCACTTGTTGATGTGTTGGGAGCAGCCAGGAACACCCCTTCTGTCTCCGTAGAAATAATCTGGGAATGTGCTATGTTTCGGCTGCTGGCTGCAAATTGCTAGGCCTGTCCATCTGCTCACATGTCCTATTCCCTGTGCATTTAAATTCAATTAACACCTGTCTGGTTCATTTAAAATCCAATTTTTGACCATCCCTACAAAGGCTGTGACAAGCGGGATTATGAAATGTTTAATACTGCCTGTCAGTAGAGAGTAAAAGGGTCTGCTTCCATTTCAGAAGATTCCAAAAAATCTGCTGTCCCCAAATTGATGTCCCTTGTGTTATATTGACGATACAGATGAAAACCCAGTATGACGCCTTAGCCTAGACCTGGCTGGCATTCACAGTGCAAGAATTCTCTAGCAAATCTATAAAATGTGCTGGTGCTTTGTAGTTATCTAATGATGAAGAAGCTTTCTTTTGATGATGTAATTCCTAAAAGGGCAAAATTTGGTTAGATGTTCTGGCTTCTAATCTTTGACATACCCCTTAAATTTCAGTTTCTTCTTTTAAAAAAATCATGTTGATCTCAGATTACTTCCTTGAACTGCCTTCTAGGTGGGGTGATAATGTAAATATGCCATGTCTTACAGACCAAATTTATTCTTAGTGCATAAATTCCTTGTGTAGCATGTCTATAGTAAACATAAATTTATATCACTCCTTTGAAATGCCATCTTTAGGCATTTCAAATAATGAGTCATGTTAGGGTATCATAGGTGTGTAATTTAGATGCATGTCTGTCTGTCAGTCAGTCAACAGGACCATTCTTTTTTCCCTCAACTACAAAGAGCTTTTTAGGAAGCTCACAGTACTTTACTAATTCGAATTAGCGCATTTAGTCAAAGTTTAATAAAACCTTGATACTTTATGAAAATGTTTCAAGTGTATATTGTCCCTGTCTGAGTGTGTGCTTCTGGGGAAAGCTGGGATTTCTCATATAAAATTCCAGGATTTAGTGGTCAATGACTTTTAAAGAGGAGCCCCTCTCCCTGGTTTGTTTTTTTAAAAAATACTTGTACATTTTTCCACTTTCTCAGAAGATTAAACCCAGGGGTTAAGAAACAGTAGTCTTAGAAAGAGAGCCGCATGCTCTGGGCGAGAGGGAGTGTTTCTTAGCAGAGAGCACAGCACCAGGGAGCAAGGGCCCCGGGACCCTCCTCCTCTATAGCCCTTGCTGGCCATCCACTCTGATGTCCAGCCAGCTTCGCTCTCCTCCTCCCCTGGCCCAAGGATGGTTATTCACCGTTGAGAAAAGGGCAGCTACCAGAGCCACTTGAGTTCCTGGGTCTTGAACAACCTTTTGATACTCATGAAGACTATGGATGCAGCAGAAAGCACATGGATCCCAACTGAGCGCCTTTTTAGGAGACGGGCATTATGCATGTCCATGGACCCTAGACTAAGAAAGTCTGCTCTAAGGATTGTAGCCGCTGTCCTAAGGTGTCCTGGTGAATCTGTGATGCCAATGATGAGCTGCATTTTAGTTTTTGGAGGGCACATTACAGGCCCTGAGCACTTTCTAACTTGATACTAAGCCCTGAGGTGGTATAATTCTTGTTTTCCAGACAAAGAAACCAAAATTGAGAGAGGCTAGGAAAATGGCCTAAAGGTAAACCACCAAAAGGGAATGTCCCCAGGCCTTGAAACAAAGCCCCTTGCAGGTCCGGTGTCCTTTCCTATGGCATGCGTGCTTGATGGCACAGAGCTTTTGCTTCTGTGCACTCAGTTTGTCTGAGACAAATACAGGAGGAAACAGTGCAGAGTATATATTCCCAGCTTCTAGCTGTCCTGCTTTTCCTGGGACTCTCCCAGTTTTGGCCGTGAAATTCCCACATCCTGGAAGCTCCTCAGTCCAAAGCAAACTGGGATGGTTGGCCACCCTGCTGGCACCATTCCATTTCATTGCTAAAAAATAATTGTGAGCCCAAAAAGCAAGAGAATGAACATGTGTTATATGCCTGCTATGTACCAGGCACTGAGCTAGGCTCTCTTTGTCTAGAACCAAAATACCTCAAGTTGAATTCTGCCTTTGACACTTGTTAGCCAGGGAAGTTCAGGCAAGTTCCTTAGCATCTCTGTGCCTCAGTGCCCTCATCTGTAAGATGGGGACAGGAATAATTCCCAAGTTGTTACGAGGAATAAATGAATTCTTTATAAAGCTCTTAGAACAGTGCTAGCACCATGTAGAAAGTGGTGGGTGTGTGTGTGTGTGTGTGTGTGTGTGTGTGTGTGTGTGTAGTTTAATAAAACATCCTCCCCCCACTAAAAAGAAAGCTGCATGGAAAGATGGATCTTCCATTTTGTAAGTTAGGAAACTGCACTGAGGTTGAGATCACACCGTTCAAAGTGGCAGCGTGCGGAGGTGTGGTCCCAGCACGCATTGCCGTCTCTAAGATGCGAATGTTCCTCTTTGTGTTCCTAGGCCTATGTGAACCTCCTTTTCTGGTACCAGTTCTTTTGTGGGTTTTCAGGAACATCCATGACTGACTACTGGGTTTTGATCTTCTTCAACCTCATTTTCACATCTGCCCCTCCCGTCATTTATGGTGTTTTGGAGAAAGATGTGTCTGCGGAGACCCTCCTGCAGTTGCCTGAACTTTACAAGAGTGGCCAGGAGTCAGAGGTATGTGCTAAAGCAAAGGTGTTTAGACCAATACACATCCATCGTCCAGGTTAGGGTATTTTTCAATCAGCCCAGCTCCAATACTGTGGTACATGCAGAAATATTTAAAACTATTTGAATTGTCCAGTTATTTCAAAAGATCTCCACTAAAACATGGCAGATGTTGTTACTCACCTTTTGATATGAACACAAGTAAAATTATAAAAGACCTTAAGTATTTATAAGAGAACAAATCCAGTGTTTGGACCTTACAGCTAACAATATCTACTATTTAGTAAACTCCACTCTGCCATGTATTATGCAAATTGCTAAACATCTCTGTCTCATTTATCTTACAAAACACTGAGAGGGAACCTGGCATTGTTCCCTTTCTAAGATGAAGCATCTGAACCTCTAAGGGGTTAAGTAATTTTTCTAAAAATGTCACAGAAAATGGCAGTCAATGAAAGAACCCATCTCAGTCTGGTTCCAAAGCCAAAGTTAAGTTCTCCAGGTTCTTCTATCATGCTAAGCAAGAGAGTGATCTTAATGGCTCCATCTCCCTAAAACCGTGCCCTACCTCCATGTTATTTTAGTCCTGTCAGTCTACCAGTGACATATCACTTACATCTGTCCCCCGCTTTCGGCCCTTCTCTTACTGCCCATATTGTCATTGCTGATTGAGTTAGCTGTCACAAAACCCTTCTTTCTAATTCATTGTTCACAAAATTAATGACCAACATTAGTATTGTACTTACGAGCACTTGTGTAATGCCTCCTATATGCCAGTCATTGTTATAAGTGCAAGATAGATGCTATCATTGTCCACATCATAGGTGAGGAAAGTCAAGCACAGGGAGTACCTTAACTAATCTGCCCACGTCCCAGAGCTAGTATATGATGCAGGTGAACCCAGGCTCCTGAGCCCATGGTGTCTACATTTAATGCTTTGTTACAGAAAGAACACTGATGCTATCTTTAGTCCTTGACCATTCCCCCAGCCCTGCCTCACATACACTGTGGTATTTAGTACCAGAAACCTAAAGTGTTCTCATAAGTGCATTGTCAGGATCGTAGGACCTGAGATAGACCAGTAGCCTAAAAGACACTTAGATGTGCACAGTGCTGAGAGGTCAGTCTAGTCAGATATTCTAGTCTTGAAAAGAAGACTCTGTTAGTCAAGACTGTATCGTTGCAAGTGACAACGAACAAGCTCAAATTGACTTATGAGAAAGAGGAATTAATTGGCTCAAATAACTGCATAATCCAGGTGTAATCGTGACAGAAAACTGTTATTCCTAATGCAACTGTAAATATCCTCATTTACAGTTATGTTATAACTCATTGGCCAAGGTAGGGTCCCATGCCTTTCCCTGTGCTTATCCCTGTGGCTGGGAAGAGTGTTTTCTCATTGACCAGGCCTGGGACATGTATCATTCCCATTAGGGCTGAACCATGTGGACAGGGTTGGGAAGAAGGGTTTCCTGAGAGGCACTGGACAGAGAGTACTGAGGCCCCCTCCCCCCAATAGGAAATCTGTGTGTTGGGCCTCAGTTGCTGTTCTTAAAACAGTGACAGATCAGCGCATGTTAGAAATTATGGGTTATGTTTAGCCTGAGTTTAAATTCTGTTACTATGATGTGTGACCTTATTAAGTTATTTAACTTACCTGCCCTTCAGTTTCTTTACTTTATAGAGATGATGTGAGGATTAAGTAAGATAATATGTGTAAAAGTTCTGGCTCCCAATGTTGTTCTATTTTAACCCCCATAATTAAACAGAAGTTTGAGGAAATCCCAAATTTAAAATGATGTGTTTATTTTCATTAGTCCAACTTTATTCCATCTTGATCTGCCTTTCCAGAATGGAGAGAAATTTAATGTCTTTGGGTTTTGTGGAGCAGCCAACCCAGAGGAGAAGTCACACATTCAGCTTTCAGGGAAGAAGAAACCTTTGTAATCCTTTAATATTATCTAATGCAGTCAGATCAAAAAACAACACAGGGTTTTCCTAAAGGAGTCCAATCTGACAAAGTTTAAGGCCCAGATGCAGGAATATACTCAGGTAGTTGATCGTAATGAAGGTTGTCCTGCACCCCAGGCCTATGTTAAATTCCATGTCCATTGGAGAAAGAGGGGTGAAGGAGGGCCCTTCAGAATGTTTATAGCTGCTGTTCTAAAAGCCCATTTATATAAGCTGAAGATTGTAGTTGGTTCTTATGCTGGGAAGGGTTGAGGTCATTGTTTCCTGGTACCCATCCTTTGTTCACATTGTTCTATCAAGCTGGCTAGTGTTATAATACATGGTAGTAGGCAGATTCCCAGAATGTGGCTATTGATAAAAGGTCACTGACTTATGTGAACATGTTAAGAAAAGAGGAGACTAGCATAGGGGTATGTGATGCCATTTTTGCCCATGGCAGACATCGCTAGTAAACCATAACACCCTATCCTTCCCGCTGGGTCTGAATGCAGCCTCGGAATCCTTCTGCCCACGCAGTACCATTCAGTCAGGGTTGGTTTCTGTTTGAAAACCTGTGTTCAATCGCTGTGACTGACTAGTGTCTCTACTTGATCTGTTTCTTTCTATAAGCTTTCAGTACAATGCGGTTTAACACATGAGAAGTTACCAAAGAGTAGTTTATTGATCTCCCAAATATTTGTTGAGAACCTGCTATATTCCAGGTACTCAAAATCATTAGGTAAACAAATAAGATTATTTTTGATGGTGATGAGAGACTTCTAAGGGTGCCGTGGCAGTAAATGATTGAGTGGGCATTACCTTTAGGCTTGTTCGGTGGGGCCTCTAGGAGAAAGTGATACTTGAGCTAGGATGTGAATGGCGAAGAACCAGTCATGTGGGAGGTTCAAGGCAAAGAATTTTTGGCAGAGAAAATAGCACAGGTGAAGACTCAAGGAAACAATGGATTTGACATGCATGAGGAATAAAGTGAAGTTTGCATAGTAGGAGCGTGGTGAGTCAGGGTAAGAATCGTAGGGGTGACCCTGGCCAGCAGGGGCTCCAGTGGGCAGATCATGCAGGACCTTAAAGGCCATGGGAAGGAACTTAGATTATGTTGGAAATGCAGTGGGGGTCGGGGGTGATTGCAGGAATAGGACAAGGTCACTTACATTAATTAGGGAGGTAGTGAGACCTGATTTATAGTTCTTAAAAGCCATCTGGCTGCCATGTAAAGGTTGGATTAGGGTAGGAGAGGTAGCAAAGAGGCCAGTAGGTGCCTATCCAGTCATCCATAGAGTTGATGGTGAATTAGAATGAAGAGAGTACTAGGGGCAAAGGGAAGTGGATGAATTTGGAGAAGTTTTAGGAACAGCATTTTCTGATCAATAGGAAATGGAAAGTTAGTAGTACTCTCCTCATTTGAGGTAGATTTAATCCAGTGATTAAAGCAATGCAAGTTAAAAGTTCCTTCAGGGATTTTTTTTCACCTGTGAATTTACCTCATTTATTATCACTCCACACTCTTCCGCCACTATTTACAAATCCCCCCAATTTTGTGAGTAAAAACTGAAGAAATAGAGTTTTCTCCCAGAGAAGCAAAAACGAGCACTGGCTCACAATGTTCCCTGACTCTGCTTGACCCATGTTAATCTTAATCCCTCCCCACTATCTGCTTCACTTTCAGGCATATTTACCTCTCACCTTCTGGATCACCTTGTTGGATGCCTTTTATCAAAGCTTGGTCTGCTTCTTTGTGCCTTACTATGTGAGTTCTTGTTCACTCAAAGGATTTGATATTAATGAATTGATGATGTTTTGTTGTACTTTGTAGTTGGTATTATATAGAATGGGTATATTAGGACAGATTGCTCATATACTCAAGTTGATTATTCTCTGGCTAAATTATACCTGCCCTCCCAAAATATATGTTAGATAATGGATTAAATTCGGAAAGAAGTGCCTAGCTGAGTCCTCCTAGGCCTCTTTTAGTCATGTAACTGCTTGATGATTTTTGTTGATGATTTAAATAAAATTCGAAGTCCACCAATATAATTAGATGAACCAAAATCAGAGAGGCAAGGCCAGAATATAAAATCTATTATCAGTTAAGAGCTGGGCTAATTCTACAGGATGACATTAAGAATATTAAATTTAAGCTCTTATAAGTGTTCTCCCCAAAATGTAAAAACATGTTTTACAGATAAAGAATGGAAGTAATGTGACTAAGCAAAAAATGTGTAAATACGACATTAAAAATTAAGGCCAACACCAAGCACAAAACAGCATGATATGTAGTTACCCATCCACACACACCTATCCCTGGAACAAAACACTAGTTTGATTGTGGATCATGTTAACAGAAGGACAGTATGAAAAATGAAAAAGATGATAGTCTCTAAGTTAACAATCTCTACTCTTTACTTCTTTATTCAAATACATGACTTGACTTTTTCCAGCTAGACCATTCTGGATATACTGCACTTCAAGAGGAATATAGATAAGGCAATCTGAAGTGTATTCAGAAAAAAATGACTAGAATTTTAAAACATCAGAAAATTGTGTCATATGAGAAATAATTTAAGGAGTTGAAAACATACATGTATAAGGGGAGAGGATATTTACTTAGCAGAGATATAAACTCAGGTTATCCACAGTAGCTGTTTCAGAGGTTTGCAGCTCTGTTAAAGGGAACATGTTTGATATTTCTCTACACCTTAAAGAGTAGAAGAGTAAAAGTTACCAGGAAGATGAATTATGATTCAGAATAAAGAGAAATTCCAGCTGAAAAGTTCACAGATTAGATGGCCTGAGAGAGGGTTGGCCGCTCTTTTGTAGAAATGTTCAAGTTTATCCTAAATGACCACATATTAGGAACATTGTAAAAGGGTCTCCGTGCTCAGCTGAGCTGCAGAATAAAGTGATGATGCTCACAACACTGAGTGTGCACAGCTCTCCAAGATCACCACCTGTTGTCCTCTCTTTGTAGACCTACCAGGGCTCAGACATTGACATCTTCACGTTTGGAAACCCCCTGAACACAGTTGCTCTGTTCATCATTCTCCTTCACCTGGTCATTGAAAGCAAGAGTTTGGTGAGTGGATTTCCTGTTTCCGCGGGAGCCTGAAACTCTCTGGGCCTGGGGAGATGTCTTCTATGAGGAGTGACCCTGTTAAGCCCTTCATGCCTAGAAGACCAGTGGTAATGAGAGGTGTGATTACCCATGGAAGAAAGGTGATCCATGGCTCGTCGGTTGTTGATCGTTGATGCCATGATGCTGAGGTTGATGTGCAGCCAGCGAAAGTGGGAAGCACCTGCCTGGTGCCCTTGGTGGTGTCCATGGTGGATGGTCCAGGGAGGGGCGAGACAGGCTGGAGGAACAATGGCCAGCTTTCTTCAAGCCCAAGCTGATGCCTTTCAACCAAAATAAAAAGATGTTAGGCCACATTTCTGGTGTACTCACTTTAGTTAGTAAGGGATGATTTTACGCTTTTCTCATTATATAAAATCAATATCTTTTTCTCCCTCTGGAATTTCTACCATTCACTTAAATCTAGGTCTTTCTGAACTTCGTTGCTGATTGAATGATAAAGTTAAGTCTTTTCATCAAAATGATTGCAGGGTGGCTCTCTGCTGGAGAGCTAATGTGTGGGATTCAGATAATGAGAGCTTTACTGCTCTCCTCCCTTTACAGATGGAGCACATCCCGTGCACCTCTGGAGAATAAACTATCTCTGTGATTATTTATGTGACTCACTCATTTCCACTGGCATCGTCTCTGCCATAGTCAAAGCCATTGTCATCTCTTCCTGCACTGTTGCTACAGCCTCTTCAGTCTTCCCACCTTTGCAAACCCGTGGCTTCTCTAGCCTTTCTCTACAAAACAACCAGAATCACCCTTTTGAGACATAAAGCATATCTTTTTGCTCTGCTTTGGATAAAAACCTTAAGTGGTTTCCCAGTGCATTTGTAATACCATATAAAAGCCCTAAGATGGCCTATAAACTTCATACAGTGATGCCTCTACTTCTGTCTCAAACTTCATTTCCACTTATCCATGGGCTGGAACCGCACTCTTATTTTCTCAGATACACTGAGCTCCTGACCACGTCAGAGCCTTAGCATTTACCGTGTCTTCTGATGGGAGTACTCCGTATTCCCTCTTGGACCCCTAGCAAAAATGCAGCTCCTCCCATGAGCCTTTCTTTAACCATCCTGTGTTCTCTTATCATCCTCTTGTTCTGTTCATAGCTCTAATAGTAATTTATTCGCTTCATTATGTGATTATCTGGTTGATGTTTCTCTTCTGCATTACGTTATCATCTGTTTGAGGACAGGGGTCATGTTTATTTTGTTCACCACTGTATACCATTATCAGTGACAAGACTGGCACATAGTACGTGTCCCCCAAAATACTCAAATAGATAAATGAATGATTGAATGACTAACCAGTTTGTGGTCTGTTTACCGTCCTGATATTGATACATTTCAACCAGGAAATGGCTGAATGAAGATGTAATTTAAAGTGTTACGTGAGCTATTATTATAAAGTTATTTATAATGATTTCTAAAGTGGAGCTGAGTGTTTTTGAAATCCTTTCTCTTGCTTATAACCTGCTTACAAGCCTAACGTGTAATACAAAGTTGACATCTGCACATACCAGATGAGGAGAATAAAGGGGATTCTAGAACTAAAATATCTGGCATTGTTTTATCTATTTAAGTTCATTGTTAAGCAACTGTGTAGTTGCTTTTGGTTACTGCCTAAGGAAGTGTCATAAATTCCAACATTTATGAGTATCCTGAAGGATCTAACACGTAAAGTGTGTCAGTTTGAGTTCACTGGTAATAAGCAACAGCAATCTGTTCCGGGTAACAGAGCAAATAGGAAAGTTATTAAAAATACACTGAAGAGCCACAGGAAAACAAAACAAAACAAAAACCTCCCAAGGAACCAGAGTGGTCCCGGAGATCCAGGGAATAGGCTGGTCAGGGTGGTTCTCTGTTCTAATTGGCTTCAGTCGTTTTCTTTCTGCTCTTGCCTCATTGTGGTCCAAGTTTAGTCCGTGGTGACGGAATTATATTCCCTTAGCTCCAGCTGTAGGCTTTGGCCAGAGGAGGAATATCTTGCCAAGACTGTGCACAATGCCTGGTGTCCTCATCAGGACGGGAAGCGAAAGCTAAGTGCCAAGGAAAACAGCGGCTGCTATAGAAAGGATGCGTCATTAAAGAATTGCTTTTCATGCCAGGGAGAAGTAATAGTTTAATGATTGTTCCCCCCTGGCATAAGAATCAACTGTTTCCCATGCTCAGGGCCTCAGGAGGTGCCTTGTCAGTAAGAGTCAGCCACGCTGAGACAGTGAATCGGTTTCCCTTCACCGCTTGCTCACCGTCTCGTCGCCTCCTCCCTGTTGGTTTTTACCCCGTTTCCCATGACTTTATCTTCCTTACATCAATTTGCTCTAATGTGTCAACTCCATCAAGGCACTGTCTCACTTGCCAAAGCACATCAAGCAATGGGATCAGTGGAAAAGAAAGCCATTTGAGAAAGACAGAAAATGACATCATTGTTTCAGAGGCACGATGATCTTAGGGATTTAGCACATTTCCTAAGCAGTTCATGCGTTCTCCCCTCACAGAAGAGCAGTCTTTGCGACTGTTGTGAAGACATAAGTCATGGAGAAATACTTTGCAAGGTTAAGAGTGAAGGAGAAAATTGGCTCTCGTGTGAAAAGTACAGTGGTGGAAAGTAAAAAAGATTAATAAAAGCAGTGCTTCCCCCAAAAGCATAACATATAGCACCAAAGTGTACAGTGTGATTTAGGCAATAGTGTGTGTCCCCTGCACTAACGCTGAATGCTACATAATGTGAAGGTGATTTTTCTCTCCATACTTAAGATTTTATCAAGGAGGAAGTTTGTCGGGGGCTATTATGTTTTATCACAACAATTTTTGCTCATTTCCCTTTGTAACAAAAACAGACCAGACTCAGCACTATTATGACAGGTAATGCTGATGGTACATTTAAGGGAGCCATCTACTTGTTTTTCCTAAATAAAGTTAATTAAATAATGAGCCATGTTAGAGAAAAATATTAAGAAAAACAATATTGCAGGCCATCCATGAATATGAAGGTGGCTAGGTTATGCTGTGTTCCACAGAGACTTATTTCTTATATATATAAAGTTAACCGAGGTTCTAGACAGCACCAGGACGATGGCCCGAGAGGTCTCAAAGGCCCAGGCTGAGTCTTGTAGCTCTACACCCAGAATCATCCCCAAGGGGAGCTTCTTAGTCAACCCGGAAGGGAAGGAGCACAGAAAACTGCACACCAGCTCTTCGTGCTTCTAACCTGAAAGTTGTGCATATTCCTTCCACTTACATTTTAGTGGCTAAAGTGAGACATGTGGCCATGCTTCTTTTCAAGGGAATGGGAGAAATGTAATCCTCCCAAATGCTTATTTGCGGAAAAGAATGAGAATAGTAGTGAGCACCAGTAATATCTACCACAATGTAAGGGATAAAGTTTGCAGTTCACTGGGTTAAGTTATTTCATTAATGAAAAAAACAGACTAATGAATGGGTGAGACAAAGTGAAAAAAAAAAAATGAAAGAAACCAAACACCTCATGGTTCACAATGCAGGATTAACTAGTCATCAGAATTACCTTTTGTCATTTAGTTTTACGGAATTTAAGCAGAAATATGCGCCATTCATGAAAGATGCTGTTGTCTTAGTTGTTCGGTACTTTTGTGTTTTGTTCTTTATGGTTTCTCTCTTCATTCACCCACTGCTTAGACATGGGGTCTCTACAACGCAGCTACAACACCCTATGAGTGAAGGTGCTCATTTCCCCTGTGCTTTTTGTCTTGCAGACTTGGATCCACATGCTGGTCATCGTTGGTAGCATCTTGACCTATTTTGTCTTTGCCTTGGCTTTTGGAGCCACGTGTGTAACTTGCAACCCACCCGCCAACCCCTACTGGATTATGCAGGAGCACATGCTGGATCCGGTGTTCTACTTAGTTTGTGTCCTCACCACCTTTGTTGCCCTTCTGCCCAGGTACCGTGTTTGCTTTATCATCAAGTGAATAAGTGAAATCACAGGCTTAGAGCTCTCCAAGCAGCTACTAAGAATGGATGACAGACCATCCAGTTTAGTAGCCCAGGGATAGGGCAGCTTTGTTTGGATAAAGGTTATCCAAGGACCTAGATCCTTTCCTCCCTTTTTGTTCTGTGTAGTGCTGCCCTCATCTGCATGATTGAAGATGACTCACCATTAGCACAGCGGTGCCCCTGCCTTCCACCCCTACCTGTCAAGGGAGAAAGAACACAGAGGATCAGGTTCATATTCTCTTGTCTCTCCCCTCCCCTCCTCCACCTTTCCGTCCCCCTCCCTCCTTCTCTCCTCCCCTCCTCCACCTCTTCCTCCCTCCTTCTTTCCTCCTCTCCTCTTTCTTCCCCCTCCTCTTCTTTCTCAAAACATAACCCAGAAGTTACACACATCATTATTCATATCCTACTAACTATAACCTTGGTATGTAGACTCCAAGTGGCTGCAATCTGGGGACTTCTAAAAGGAAGGAGGAGGCAAATGGACCCCGAGAGACAAGTAGCAGCCCACTGCAATCTGTAAACCCTTGAAACTATACAACTTCCCTCCCTTATCTGATTCTAGTTACCCTTCCCATTTTAGTTTAACTGATTTCTAATAAGGCATGGGATGGAATTAGCTAAGAAGTATGCATGGGTTTTTAATCTATAGATTCTTTAAACACTTGTTAGAACTCTTCCTCTTTATAGTTTTATAGAATCTATCTGTTTAGCTGAAAACATTATAGCAAATAGTTGTTCAACATTTTTAAAGATGATATGAAAGTCAAAATGGTGATTTCATATTATTCTCTAACAGGGTTGACAAACTGGCTCACAGGCCTAACCTGGCCTGCTACTTTTGCAAATAAAGTCTTATTGGAACACAGCAATACTGATTATTATGTGTGGCCATTAAAGGTTAAATGGCCATAAACCTTTGTTGTTAATGGACATCCCTTCTAAAAAGGCACAAGAAAAACCCACCTGAGTCATTCTCTGGTGGTTATAGTTGCATACTTAACAATATCTCTTAACCTGAGGGGCTTCTTTAGTGTTTACTGTTGTTACCAGCTTTCAGATTACGGACACAGAAGACAGTATTGTAGAATTCATGAAGAAACAATTACTTTAAAGTTATAGCCTTCCATGTTCCTTTAAGAGTATTAACTGTACAATTCCATCTAATAGTCACAAAAATGACCCCCTAAAACAAGGGCCAGCACCCGGGCCACAGACCAGCACCAACTGATGGCCTGTTAGAAACTGGGCTGCACAGAGGTGGGTGAGCGGCAGGAGAGCGAGCTTTGCTTACCGCCTGAGCTCCATCTCCAGTCTCCCTCCACCCCCACCCTCCGCCCCATCTGTGTGAAAATTGTCTTCCATAAAACCAGTCCCTGGTCCAAAAAGGTTGGGGACCACTTCCCTAAAAGATATCCATGCCCTAATCCTTGGAACCTTGGACTGTTACCTTATTAGCAAAATAGGTCTTTGCAAATGTGCTAAGTTAAGGATCTTGAGACAGGGAGAATATCCTGTATTACTTGTATGGGCCCTAAATGCCATCAAAGGTGTCCTTATAAGAGAGAGGCAGAGGGAGATTTGACACAAACAGAAGAGGAGAAGGCACTGTGACTAAGGAGGCAGAGTTTCCTCAGTCAAAAAGCAAGGAATGCTTACAGCCGACCAGGAGCTAGAAGAAGCAAGGTATGGATTCTATAGAGGGAGCATAGGCCTTCCAGAACCTTGATTTTGGCCCAGGGAAACTGCTTTCAGAATCCCTGGTCTCCAGAACTATGAGAGAATTAAATTTTGTTGTTCTAAGCCATTAAGTTTGTGGTCAGTTGTTACAGCAGCCATAGGACACACATACAGGCTTTGGTACCAGGAAGATGGGTGCCGCTGTGGAACAAATACCCAAAAACATGGAAGTAGCTTGGAAACTGGGTGATGGGCAGAGACTGGAAGAATTTTGAGGCACCTCATAGAGAAATACTGGACTTCCTTAAACAGACTCTAGGTAGAAATACGGACTTTAAAATTCTTGCTGATGAGGATTCAGAAGAAAGTGAGAAGCATGGGAGAGAAAGCCTATTTCATCTTAGAAAATACATATATTATCATAAAGAGAACATTGCTGGAAATGTGAAAGTTAAAGGCACTGCTGGTGAGGATGCAAAATGAAATTAGGAACATGTTATTAGAAATTTGAGGTTAAGTGGATCTTGGCAATAAAGGGGCAGAAAATGTAGCTGAAAAGCGCTACTGTTGTAAGGAAAGCAGCATTTGTAAATGATGAACTTTGATATTTAGCTGAGATTTCCAGGCAAAATGTTGAAGGTCTGGCCTGGTTTCTTGTTGTTGTTCATGGTAAATTGTAAGAAGAAAGAGATTATGGAAGAACTATTAGGTCAAAAGGAATGAGGTTTAGAAAATCCTCAGACTCTCCAGATTTTAAAAGTTACTAAAATCCAGAGATTGATTGTGAGGAGTATGCTCGAGAAAGGCCAAGAGCATGTGACCTTTTGCTAGTGCTTGAGATTAGGAGTGTGACGCATGGATCTCTTCTACCATCTCTACAGCCATCAAGACAGGACATGGGATTATACAGGACAGACCCGTGGAAGACCCTCTTAACTAATGGCATAAATCCCCATGACATACATTGGTGATCTACAAGGTTTTTGAGAATGGTGTGACAGCAGAAACATTGCCAGCTGAAGCTTGTGACAAGTTTGTAGCGATTTGTTACAGTAGCCATAGGACATTAATAGCTAACATTTTTTGGACACTCGCTGCGTGCCAGCACTCTGTCTGCTTTACATGTACTTATTTGACCTAACATCATGCCTATGATGCAGCATTGTTGGTGTCTCTGCTATTGCAGACTTTTGCTTTATTTATTTAACAGGCATTCATAAGGAACTCATAATTTCTTAAGTGCTTTACAAATATTAATTTATTTAATGTTGTTGTCATCGCCATTCCGTATTTAGCTTATCCTCCTCCTTTAGCTCAAGGAGGCACTTGGCCACCAGACACATTTACTATTTCTAATTGGCAGTTTTTGTGTCCCATGATGCATTTGAGGTGAATGTAATTCCATGATGCTTTTTGTAACCTAGGTTTACATACCGAGTTCTTCAGGGATCCCTGTTTCCATCTCCACTTCTGAGGGCTCAGCACTTTGACAGACTGACTCCGGAGGAGAGGATTGAAGCCTTTAAGAAGTGGAAAGGAACTAGAAAGATGGCTCATGTGACACCTAAGTATGCTGACCACTCAGCAGCCAAGTCAGAGGGAAGATCCACATGTGGCCCCGCTGTCTTTGGAATGATGTCAGCACCATCTTGTGCTGGTGAGCCAGGAAACTCATCTGTCTGTGAAACTGTGTTAGACTCGGGCTATTCTGAAACTAAGACCTCAGGGATGGCTGAACCCTCAAAGGGTTAAGAAAGCAGGATACATTCTTTGGAGCTGCAAGTATCCCTTCAACTTTGGAAGAGGGAATTTGAAGAGGCACCTCTACCAAGCAAGAATGACTTGGACCTTTTCTTCAGGGTCATGAACATTTTACTTGCTTGAAAAAGCCAATGTGATGTCCTTTAGTGTATGTTTTACATTTGACCTGGACTGAGTTTAGGTAGGTAAAATATTTAATTCAGAGTCAAGTGCTTTTATGAAACATTTTGGTGTTGTAAAAGCATTTTAATGGTCTTAGACATATAAATGTTTTCAAGGAGATTCTTTTGAGATATACTTATTTTGCTGAGAGATCTCAGATTCCAGAGAAATGTTTGGAATGAGCAGACTCCAATCCGATTTTTTTAATTAAGAAAAAAAGCAAAGTATTTTTAGATTGATTAGGTAGAATTCCAAGAGTTCTACATGGGAAAAAAAATGTTATAAATGATTAATTTCCAGAGGAAAGAATTCCAAAGCCTTTTAAACAACAATGTACCTAAAATAGGATAACAGTGATACTATTTAAAATATAGTTAGTTATTATGAATAGTATTTTATTTCCTAAGAGAAGATGCCTTTGGGCTTCTGGCTGAAGATGCTAGGCATACCGCTCTGCTCATCTCAGTGTTCCCCTGCGCTGGGAAGGGGCCGGGGGAGGCCAGGGTCTATCAGGCAATGGAAGCCAGCTTCAGTCGAAGGAAGACCTCTCTTGAGGTCTCCCTGTGTGCAGATGGTAATTGGGAAACAAAAGCCATGGGTGAGAAAGGCAGAAGCAGCTGAGCCCATGGCCCATTTGGCAATTTCCTGTATTCTCACATTGACAATACTGATCAGAATGAGACAATCAGTTTCAAAACACTTCAAGAGACCACTTGAGGATTCATAATCCCTGCAATACCATACAACTTTTCAGGTGTTGTAACTTTTCAAAATGAGGTATGAATTGACACTAACACAGGTGGTTCTCAGAAGGATTCCATGAGGTTCTTAGAAAAATTTGTTTATTAACACATTTTAGAACAGGCATATCTATAGCAGGTTAACTGCTGTTGCAGATCATGTATACTGGTTTTAGTTGGAAAAAGAAATAGTTTATCCCAAGTAAGGCCAGCTGTTATTATAAGACTGTGTATTCTCGTTAAGTTCTTTTAAAACTGTATCTGTTCATTTGAAAGTTGTCAGCCGCCAGTCACCTGGAATTTCCTTCATGAAATCTCCTTGCTATTGCTCTGTTTCTATGTCAACATTGTCTTAATGGCAATTAAACTAGAAATATTACTCTCAGGGCTTTATCTTCTCCCTGCTGCCTACTGTCCTGGCCTGATGTTTTTGGAGCCTTCAGATATTATTGCAAATCGTCTTTTATATAGACTTTCCAGAACATGCAAAATGTCACATAGCTAATGGAAGTTGCTCTCTGCTTCCTTATAGTTCTTTTTTTTAATAAACTGTTTAATAAATCATGTGTACTGAAAAACTGTCATCACTCCTCTAGATACTCGCTGAATCCAACTGTTCAGTGATTCCTGAACTTAAAGGGAAAATTCCAAAGTACACCTTATACCAGAATATTGTTTGGGCTTTTCCAGTATCAAAAAAATAAGTGATGTGACTTCCTCTGTTATCCTCATTGTAGCTGGCATTCACTTCCTGAGATCATCATCCTCTGATAAGTAAACATGTAGAGATATTTTTACTCATAAATAAAAGGTTAGAATCTAAGGATAAAAAGAATGAGCCATAAAGACCATGAAAAACTATCAAGCACCTGTACTCACGAGTAGATGAAACTCGTGAGTGTTCGTGTTATGGGGCCACGATTCCGGAACCCTGAGACCGCTGAAAACTGAATTTTTTTTTTATAAATTGGGCAAAAACTCAATGCCCTGAACAGAAGGCAGGCTATTATTACACTTAAAATAATTTTCATGTATTTGCTACAAAAATTGTATTGCAGGATCTTAAAGTGTATTTTTTAAATTTTGAAATATTCTGGGTTCTTTTTTAAAAAAATTCATTTATTTAGGGAAAGAGGGAAAGGGAGGGAGGAGAGAAACATCAGTATGTGGTTGCCTCTCGCAGGCCCCCAACCAAGGACCTGGCCCGCAACCCAGGCCTGTTCCCTGACGGGGGATCAATTAGTAACCTTCGATTTTTGAGACACTGCCCAACCTACTGAGCCACACCATTCAGGCAAATTCTGGTTTCTTAAACACATCTGACCCTCAGGTGAAGAAAAACTGGGATCTGTATTAAGTCTTACATGGTCTCATTTACAAATAAGTAACTCCTACACAAGTTACCCAAGCTGATGTGAACTGTTACATTTTGGTTTTCAGCATATTTCACTGAATTTTAAGAAACTTACAGTATGATAACAATGCTCCTGGTAGCCAAGAAAAAGTGATTAATATACATTTTGGGATGTAAATTTACCCCAAAAGACTTACGAAAGAATTGGATGCCCTGACCTGTGTGGCTCGGTTGGAGTATCATCCTGTAGACCAGAAGGTCCTGGGTTTCATTCTCAGTCAGCGCACGAACCCAGCTTGCATGCAATCCCTGATTGGGACGCATACAAGATGGCAGCAAATCGGTGTTCCTCTCTCACATCCATGTCTCTCTCTCTCTACCCCTTCCTCTTTTTCTAAAATGCAATGAAAAAATGTCCTCAGGTAAAGATTTTTAAAAAATAATAAATACAAAAGAAAAGAGGGAATCAAGATGGCAGAGTGAGTGAAAGTCACACTGACCTCCCCCCAGGACCAACCTGGAATTGCAACTAAATTGTGGAGAAATCACCTGGAACAAACAACTGATCAATAGTGAGAGAGGAGCCTTGTTACCTCGGAGACAGAAGAATTGGCTTTAGTGCAATCTAATTGATAAGGAGTGAGGCAGAGACTCGAGAAGGTGGGCAGGGTGCCCACGGGCGGCAGCACCAGAAGGATATTGAAACGGCCACTGAGATCCCCCTGAGAAGAGCAGGATCTAAACCAAAAACAGGGATCTCTACAGCACCAAGGCCAAAAAGTACACAGAAAACAGCCAGCTGCAAAAAGCGGCAGGGTTGCTCTCTGCCAGAGACAGATGGCTGGAGACGCAAAGAACAGTTTAAAGGGCCAACGCATAAATTTTTATTTGCAGCCACTTATCCTGGTCTCCAGCAAAGGGTGGGGCAGAGAGGGCTAGAGACACCTGAGTAGAGACTGGGAAAGGAGGCTTTGGGGAGAGAACTGAGAGATTAGCTGGCGGCATCTCGGTGCTGACTCACCCCCCCATGCGGCAGCAGCCATCTTGCTCAGGCAGACCACTCCCCTGAGTGGCATCCATGTGAGAGGACACAATAGCCCCACCCCCAGGCAGGATTCTGCCCCACCCTGTGCTGTCTAAGCCATCTGCTGAATGCAGAGTGGCAGCCACAGATAGTAGATCCCTGGCTGAAGAGAGCACAGAGAATTCTGGAGACACTTGAAGAGAGACTGGGGATGGAGGCTTTGGGGAGAGAATGGAGAGAGTAGCTGGAGGGATCCCAGTTGCTGACTACTCCCCCATACGGCAGCAGCGTCAGAGGACCCAACCCCGCCCCCAGGAGGGACTCTGTCCCGCCCTGAGCTGTCTAAGGCGCCTTGTTGAGTGCAGAGTGACTGGATTAACAGCTGAAGGAGACAGTCAAGACAGTAGATTCCTGGAAAAGTCAAACAGACTGCCTAAGGTCAGACAGGGACGACATCTCACATCATCAGAGGCAGATCCAGAAAGTAAAAACAGCGGTCTCCTACCATAGAAGTTCACACCACAAAGTCAGGAAATAAACAGATCAACTTAAGAAGCAGAAGCAAAAAGAAGTCTCACAAATAATGGGAAGACAAAGAAATACCTGCCACTCAAAGGGAAAGGAGGAAACCCCAGAAAGGAACTAAATGAAATAGGGGCAAGTAAACTGTCAGATATTGAGTTCCAAACAACAGTTCTAAGGAAGCTCAATAAGCTCAGTAAGCTCAGAGAGAATTACAAAAACTACAGAGAAACCATGAGGAACTTACTACAAACTATATAAGCATGAAAAAGGACATAGAAACTATCAATAAGAGGCAAGAGGAAATGAAGAATACAATTTCTGAATTGAAGAACACAGTAGAAGGAATCAAAAGCAGACTTGATGAAGCTGAGGATTGAATCAGCAAGCTGGAGGACAAGGTAGAAAAAAGCTCCCAAAAAGAGCAAGATAATGAAAAAAGACTCAAAAAGAATGAAGAGGCATTGAGGGAAATGCAGGACAACCTGAAACATAATAATATCCGTATAATAGGGATACCAGAAGAAGGACAGGATGAGAAAGGGATAGAGAACCTGTTTGAAAAAGTAATGATGGAAAACTTCCCTAATTGGAGGAGAGAAAAAGTCACACAAGTCCCAGAAGTACAGAGGGTCCCATTCAGGAGGAACCCAATGAGGCCCACTCCAAGACATATCACCATTAAAATGCCAAATATCAAAGACAAACAGAGAATCCTAAAGGCAGCAAGGGAGAAAGAGGTAGTAACATATAAGGGAACCCCAATACGGCTAGCAGCTGACTTCTCAACAGAAACTGCAAGCCAGAAGGGAGTGGCAAGAAATATTCCAAGTCATGAAAAGCAAAGGCCTGCAACCAAGACTGCTCTACCCAGCAAGGCTCTCAATTAAAATGGAAGGTGAAATAAGGAGTTTCCCAGACAAAAGAAGGCTAAAAGAATACACCTCCACCAAACCAGCACTGCACAATATGCTAAAGGGACTGCATTAAGGTGAAGAAAAAGAGTCTATGAATACCCAGTTCCTTTCACAGATGCCAATACCTGGTATTACCAATATTTTTTAATACGTATTAATCTGATTGTGACAAAGATGTGTTATTTTAATTGTTCCTTTATTATTTGTTGAAGCTAAACCTATTTCTGTATATTTTGTACCTATTTCTATTATTTTTAAAAAGCTTTATATGAGTTTTTGGTATTCTTTATCCATTTTTTGATTAAATGTTTGTAGAATTTTTTTCCCTAAAAAAACCCGCAAAAACCATTAACCCTGTTTTAGATGTGTGGCAAATACTTTTCTATGCATTACTTGTCCTTTAACTTTTTTTATATGTATATTACTGTACAGTCTTAAATGTTTAATATAGTCATATTGTCAATATTTTACTTTATAGCTTCTGAGTTGGAATATTTTACTTTAGGCTAAGAAAAATATTAGTTTTTATTTTCTCCTAAAATTCCTAAGATTTTATATACTGATTTTTACCTGAATATTTGTTGTATAATGTGTGAAATAGGGCTCTATATTTGTTTTATTTCAAGTAATAGTGGTCCATGCACCTTATTTGTTGAAAAAGCCTTATTTTACCCATTGATTTGAATTATCAACTTAATCATATATTACATCGTTAGACAGATATATACGTTGGTCTCTAGAATGCTCATTATATTTCATTGATCTACTTGGTTATTTCTGTGTTCGTGTCATGTTGGTTTAATTGCTGAGACTTTATAATGGTTTTAAATTTTTTTAATATTTCATAATTAACTTTGACATTTAAAAAAATAAAATCAATCTACATTTAAGAAAGAGAGAAAGAAAAGAAAAGAAATGGAACTCCTACATTTTGCAACACGGATGGAACTGGAGAATATTAAGCTAAGTGAAATAAGCCAGTTGATGAAAGACAAATACCATATGATCTCACCTATAAGTGGAATCTATTCAACAAAATAAACCACAGGCATGGAAACATGGAGCAGACTGAAAGTGACCAGAGGGGATGGGGAAATAGGACAATGGTGGAAAGAAGGGGAAGGGACTAGACCAAGAACATGTATGAATGACCCATGGACAAGGACAACAGAGTGGGGACTGACCGTGGAAGAGGGGTGGGGGTGGGATGGGGGGAGGAGGGTAAAGGGGGAAAAATTGAGACAACGCTAATAGAATAAACATGATATATTAATTCAAAAATTTAAAAAAATAAATAAAAGAATTGGATCAGTTTTTCAAAATGTGTTCTAGAAAGTAAAGCTCCTTATACTCTTACCAGGCCTTAAATTTTCATTGGACACTCAACAGGCAACGTGAGAGTATTAGCAACCTATAACTTCAGACTAATCGAAGATTTATCTGTCATCTTATTTTAGAGAGCATATTTCTGTGAAAGTCAGATATAAGACAGGTAAATTTTGATTGATGGGAAGCTGGGTGCCTGCTATCATATTAGGAGACACAGTTTTCTAGGACTTGTTATTCAAGCTCCATGTACATAAAAAAAGATTATACCATTTTATTTGTATTAACGGTTATTTAAAATAAGTACAATATGTACATTTCACTGAACATAAGTTGAGCAAGGCTAAAAGTTGTTACATTAAGTGTGTACCTACAACTACAACAAAACTGACATATGTTCTTAAACTTTCACACAGTTGTAACCGAAATTCAATTGCTGGATTTCACATTCTCAATAGGTTAACACAAATTACAGAACAAGAGATGAATAACATGAAAAGTGTCAAGACAACTTTTTGAATTTCAAATATGTGTACAGATAGAAAAGCGTACAAAAATACATGTATAAAACCTCAGGTAGTCTCTACGTGGAAAGCTGAGGCAGTCTGGGTTGCTGGTGGAGGTTAGCAGGGAATCCCACTTCTTCGAAAGGCATTTGGATGTTGCAGAAATGGGTGCCTGACTAATTAATTAAATTAGTTGCAGGTGATTTGTGTTTTGACGCTTTTTCGTGTGGAAAATACTTTAACCACTGATTACTTCAGAAATTGACGTGGGTAAAGTGGCCTAGTGCTTAAAAGCATCTTTAAAATTTTAATTGCCAATAAGAAGGAATGGCAACACCAGATATTAAACATCTTTCAAGGAAAATTACAAAATGTTATGCAAAGTTTTCCTATGTTTCAAGATACATTTCTGTACTTTATTGGTATGGACAAACTGGAAGATACTTGAGAGTAGGGTGCCATTTAATCTTTTTAATAGCATCTCTCCAGTGTAAAGCAAGCTCTCCTTTGGCAAACTATAATCTCAAATACATTGTTACACAGGCGGAACAAAATAAAAATATTTCCCATGGGTATTTTCCTAGTTGTGGAAATATCGGCCGGCCAAATGACATCCACTGAACAAACCCCAGCTACAGAAGAGGCTCTATGGAGACTTCCCCACCAAATTCCAACTTTTGTTTAAATTCAGAATGAGTGATCCTATAAGGTCAGAGCTAACACTGATGTCTAAAGAGCTTTGCATTCAATGTGTCTTGCTATTGCAACTGCTTACGGGGATGCTACCTGTCACGTCTGACTGTCTTTCACAAGTGCTCAAGATTTTGCGAACTTTAGAAGACTAATAGTAAATAATTTAAGCATGTACCTTATCTTGGCTCTTAATAAATCAAAAGCGAGTCATCAATGTTAATATTGAAAGTTGCCACTATGCTACTGTGCTTGAGAAACAGGAGCTGGCAAAGGTTAGTCAGCCCAAAACTCAATGTCCTTTCTGTGACTGGGAAGAGGGAGCTTTATAGCTTGTCACCCTAGTGCCTGCAATGGCCTACCTCTGCAGAGCCGATGATTTTGCACTACAGTCAAGGTGAGGCTGAGACCAACAAAGTCGGCTTTCTTCCTTTTTAAAAAAGACTTTCATTGAACTTGAAATAAGAGAAAAGTAAAGCTGAAAGAAACGCTGAATAACATTAGACCAACACAAACACGAAAATGTGCAACAGACTGCAAGCGTCCCTGTCCATGGGAAGTGCTGTCTTGTACAGCTCTGCAGCAAGCTCCCCATAGTCAAGGCCATTTCCTTTGAGTATCGCTGGCGAAGTCTTTGATCATCTTTGGAATTAGTTTAGGAGAAAGGTGTGAGTGTATATTTGTCTCTCAATCCATTCAAGGAAGTATGACACATTGCTATAAACTCCTGGCCCCAGGACTTTGGAAAAGCAGACGGAGCCCCATGAAGTTAAACCAAATAATGTCCACTGTCCTCCAGGCTGTTCACAAACAAGAGGTCCTCCGCTGTCACCCTGTAATGAATAGCAGTGGGTGTTAGTCACTGGTATTTCAGAGCCCTAATGATGTGCATGTTGTCCTGAGGGTACAATAAAGCCAAACCCAGCTTAACCAACTCTTCGGAAAATTTCGACAAAGCTTTTATTGCCAGCCCGTGGGGGGAACATGCTTTCTACTACATAAATAGGACTTCCAAATGGACAGTTTAAATGCATCTTTAAAAGGAGAGGGATGGCTTGAGAAAGGATTCTATTCCTTAATTCCATGAAGTCAGACCTTTTTAGTCATTTTCTGTGCTTATCAAAATACATCATAATTTTTTTAAAAAAAATTAGCGTGTCAGAATCAATTCTTATAATCTCATTCTTTAACTTTGATCCGTTTTATAAATGTAGAAAGTACCCAAAATAGAACACAGATATTTTTTCCACAAAAAATACTAGAAAAATATTCTAAAATACCTTACTATTTTCAAGATTCTTGCTATGTGAATGAATGCATTAAATAAAACATACTCAGGGACCACCTAATATATTTCTCAATAGTTTTTAGGCCCTTTCCAATTAGTATTCTTGAATGGAAAATACCACTTAAGAATTATTTACCATAACATTTTATTTATTTATAACTTACCTTTTATTTCATGCATGTGCATAGAGATGTTCTTTCTTGATATTTAAGTTTTATTTGAATTTTATGCGGTTCTTTGGCCACACATAACCTTAAGACACTATGACTTTATAAAGTTTATATTTTGCTCCATGTGAAAAGATCAGAGTAGGTTAGAGGGCATATCTGCAGTGGCTCAACAGAGAAGGACTGGTACCTTAGAAAACAGGGGAGTAACTATGGTAGAAATTTACAAATTCTCCTTGCCCTGCAGAGTTTCCAACTTGGAGATATAGCTACAGTCATTCACACTTGGAAACGTTGAAGAACAATCATAATCATGTTTACTGATATTTTTCTGAACACGTTCCCTGTATTACCTCATTTACCCCTCACAAAATCCTTAGGAGCTGATAATAATAATAATTACTATAATTATATTTATTTTAGAGATAATAAAAATGAATCATGACACGTTTATAGCTTGTTGATTGGCAAGGTTATGATTAAACTCAGGCAGCCTAGCAGCAGTACTGCAACCCTATAACTACAGGCTACCTTGCTTCTTAGAAATGTGAGTGAATATGACTGAGGTTGAAGCAAAATTGAATGTTTGTTTGTGCCGGATGTTTTTGTGGAGGCAGCAACCCTTACATTCGTAAATTGCCAATGCCATGGCCTAAGTAATGAGCGTAGACCTTGCAAGGGGTTGAATAAATTATTCTGCAGAAAAGCCTAATTGAAAAATTTTAAGCAAAATTTACTGGAAACATTTTTATTAGACATAATCCACAAATTTTTTAAATCTCTCCTTACATAAAAGAAATAGAGATGCTGACTTATTTAGGCCGAGCTATTTATTATGCCAGAGAGTGACTAAAATGGAACACGTTTACAAGTTTGTTCTACACTGCCAGGTCAGAAATTTAGCCTGATAATTATTTAGCATCCACTCTTTGCAAGGTTCTGTGGTAAGGTCCACACTGAGGAGGGCACAATTTTTGGTCACCGAGGGGCAAAAGTCTCCTTTGGCAACAAGAATACCTTGACATGAAAGCAAAATCTAAGGATTATAAATAAAGGCATCTTGAAAGGAACTAATGATTACTTCCAGCTGGAGAGGAACACAAAGTGCCTTGCTAACATGTGGGTTTGGAGTGGGCTTAGCGAGGCAGTGGACATTTGTAAGGTAGAAAACAAGAGGTGAAAAGCAGCTCTTTCATACGAAAAGGAGAATACAGATAAGGCATAATTTGCCTCTTTTCCTCTCAGTCATATAGAACATTAAGCCAAGTTAATGTTTGGTTTCAGTATTGACCCTGATGATTTCTAGACCTTAACAGAGGGACCCACAGCTTCCAATGTGCACTGTTAATAAATCATAAAGGTAATGAAGGGTTCTGAGGAACAGTCTTGCTCCAGACCTAGTAAAATGTAGCTCTTGTTTGTTTTGTGTTTTGTTTTGTTTTCTACCTGGAGCTGTGTAGGAGAACTGCTGGCATGCATTTAAGATACCCACAGGGCTGAGTTCCCACTATGAGAGAAGTTGGCATGACTTGGTACCCATTAGACATCATGATAGGAGTATGCCCGTGCCTGTGTCTGTGCACAGCCTTCAGTTCTCTTTCATGAATCACCCTCCTGCCCCTCCTCTGGCAGTGACCAAGAGAGGAAGAGGCACCCCTTTTTTGTAGACCTCCAAATCATGCTGGAGAAATGGACTCACATTAATCATCGCTACTAGGAGAGTATAGTGGCCCAGCACAGGGGCCCTGAAGCCAGACTGCCTGGGTTCATACCTTACTCTACCACCTTTCGCACTGGACGATATTAGGTAAATAACTTAACCTCTCTGGTCCCTTCTTTTCTTGATCTGTAAACTAGGAAAAGCAATGATACTGCCATAGCAGGTAATTGTAAGGATTAAATTAGTTACTATAAAACATTTGGAAGACATCCTGCAACACAGTAAGTACAAAATGATAGATGTTAATATTTGCATAGTCACTCTTCCTTGAGTGGATATGCCAGACATCACACACGGATATGTGAAAGACAGGGCCTTCACATATATTAATTCAGCTAGTCCTCAAAACACCCTGCAAATTAGAGACTCAGTCTCATTTTACTCATGAAAACAAAACTTTCTGGAAAGGTTAGACAACTTCTCCAGGTCATATTGTTCTTACTGGTAGAAGAGGGATCCAACCCAAATCTTTCAGGCTGCAAATGCTATGTCCCAAGCCCCACACCATTCTGCCTCCAAACAGACTTTCTGTTTTTGGCACGGGAAGACAAACCCAGAACGCTTGTTTGGAAGGCAGGGATTCCTCCACCACTGCCCACCTCCGCTGAATGACCCGTGGCCAAGGTGACCTCAGTGAATCTCCAAGGGACCTGGCTGTCTGCCTCCCTCTTTCCCCAGACAATTGTCTAAGGAATCACCACGGGGTCATTTCCAGTTCCCTGATTTGCCCACTCTGAAACAGGACGGTCAGAAATGTCATTTTGTTATGTTAGGTTATGGTAATAGCATTGCTGAATCTTTCCTTCAATTCACAAGTGAGCGTATGGTGGCGGGGGGGCAGGCGGTGCAATTGGATCTACCCCAAAGCAGTGATGTAACAAGGGTACTTCATAGCCCTAACATGGAACTACTGTCCCCATCTACTATTAGCTTCTTTGAGCACTTGCCCTTTTTCATCTTTATCTGGGAGACAGTCTAGTTTAATGTTCAATGGATATTTATTAAGTAAAAATAAAAATGCTTCCCTGAATTGCTTAGCCATCATGCTCTACGAACTGTTGTGACCAGGAATCCTGAGTGTCTGAAGGTCATGTTCAGTGGCATTTGAAGACACATTGACAATCAAGTGCAGGCCAGTGTGATCACCTCCTGACACAGAGCTGGTTCTGTCCCACCCCCTGGAAGCTGGGGTGTTGTGTGTGCTCTAATGCCTTCACCCTGATGGCTAAAAACTTCCTTTGGGGTCCGCCTGCTTCCTGGGGCAGCCTGGTTGGAACCATGGTTACTGCTAGCTCCTCTTAGGAACTCGTTTGTCTTGGCCACTAAAATGGTCCAATGAGACGGACCAGAACAGCTACTTTCCCTCCCGTTGCTGACGCAGGTGCTGTTTGCCATGCAGTGGACAAGAATGCTGAAGGCCAACTGAGCGAGTGAAGGGCACAGAGGTAGTATTGGGGGGGAAGGCACAGGCGGAATAAGCACCTGTTAACAAATGATTTTCCAAAAATCTTCCCAAAGGGCCACATGTGAATAATAATGAGTTTATATGGACCCATCAAGGTTATTGCTGAACTGAATCACCTCAGTCATCAGAACACAACCTACCATGCACGAGTCGACTGTGCCAGACTCGTAGCCAGCACAGATCATCCGCGTGGTGATGGTCTTCATGTCAAAGTAGGACTGGCACTGCTCCAGGGAAATGACACGGACTTCTCCCTCCTGCAGCTTGAAAGGCACTGGGCATTGGGAAAAAGAAGAAATAAAATACGCAAGAGGATAAATGGGTCAAAATTGAGGCCAGTCATATGTGAAATGATTACATTTTTATACCCCCAAAACCATATTCTTTACTTCATATGTCACTTCAAAGACAAGGCTTGTTTGGAATCAGAGTTTTCTAACTAGAATTGTTGACGGCAATCATGTAGTCAAACCCCTTTATTTCATTGAGAAAAGTGAGGCACAGAGTGGTTAAGGAACTTGATTAGGTAACATGGCTCATGCTTTTCCTCTCTTATTATACAGGCTGCAGTAAAAACAGCAGCCAACACAATGAAATGGAAATGAATGACGCCACAGCTCTGCCCCAGATAGGAGGCAGCCAGCTCAGTGTCGGCTCGGCACGTCAGTCCTGCTCTGCTATGGCACATGCACTTGTGCGTTCCAGCAGGACAAGATCTGTCCTCTTCTTGGTTTAAAGGATGTGTCTCACCAAGGGCTGCAGTGGCCATTATTTGAGGTAAGAACTTTTAATACTAGAGGATATGACAGAGAGATATTGAAAGGGACAACATCATCCCTTAGGGTCAGAGGGGAATATGTGAATTCACCATTTGCTTTAAAGTTCTTGAAGAATAGCAACAGACTTGAATCTTCAGTTGTTTTGCCACTCTACAAATTGCATACCCTGCTCTCCTCTTGGATAGTGATAGTGAAGCAGTGTATATGAGCAGGGTACCTTATTGGGAGGAAAGATCATGCTTGGAAAAATCAACGTGATGTGGACAGTGAAAGCTTCACAAGTTGTTGGAAGAATGCTAATGAGAACAACCGCTAACACATACTGGGTACCAGCAGTAGGCCAGGCCCCTGCCCTCGCCATTCTTCAGGCCTACAGTCTTTAATCTTTACAATAATCCTACAAATTAGACCATTGCTATTATATTTTCCACTGTATAGTAAGCTAGAAAGAGGTACAGTCAGGATCAGTCAGATCTTTCTCACCGAATTAGACCCTCACTCTTCTCGCTACACTGTTTTTGTGGTATGTGTGATATGTATGTTACAGGCTGGCTCTCAGTGTGATGTGGATATTGTGGGAACAATACAAGAAGAGGCAATACAAAGTATATTCTGCCCTTATCCCATGTTGCAATACTAATTATAGCTTTTAAAACCCAACATGTGCAGGAAGGGTGACACGCGTCTCACATTGCCTTTGAGGTTCTTATGGGTGCACTTGTCAGAAGTCATTGACTTACATCTGTCTATTGAATTTTTCTTTATGTCCTCAGCTGACCAGATAGAAAGAAAACTCAACTTAATTCAAAACTTATTTGACTAAATTTAAAAAATTTTCCTTCAAATTATGGCAGTTGCTAAGGTGAATAACGGGACATCAATATGCATCACTGTTCCCGAGAGCCATGGCCATACCCTTGATATGGAGTGGCCTTTAAGTGAAAATATCTCATGGGTTTCTTATTCTAAACTTTAAGAGGTCAACCAAAATGAGTCCATTTAGGGCCTGAGAGGATGTAGTAAAAATTTAAATTTCTATGTTTTATATGGTCAAGTCATCTAGGGAGCCAAATTATTTTAATCCATTTAAATAGGCAAAAAGCAAATCTTTTTTTCCCCCAAGGACTTACAGGTTGTGTTACAAAAGTCGACAAGACCAATCATAACACAGGGTTGGAAATGTGAATGTGCAGCTTGGCTGCAGGAATGGAAGTGCCTAATGCTCGAGAGAGGCGCCCAGTGCGTTTGCCTGCAGAGGGTGCAAATCATCTGTGGAGATGGTTCACGCAGGGATGACCGACAGGTCTCATCTCACATGGCGGCTCCAAAACATGGTTCTGGCTCCCTGGAGAAAGGTTCTGAGGTGTGGACAAGCATTTTTGAGGTTGCCTCTGAGCAGGTGTAAGTGCCTTATTGACATCTGTTATTTGCATGGAAGGGCGAGTGTGACACACTCTTAGTATTCACCATTTGTGTCTGTACTTTTAGAAGTGACATGGGGAATTATTGCCAAAGGCTGGGAAGAAACTCAAGGAGTTTTGGCTACAAGCTGAAAGGCAAGGGCTGCTGACAATCCTGGCTTACTTTTGTTGCCCATGTGCCCCCAGCCTGTGATGTAGCAGTACGTGTCAGGTTCTAACGACTGCTCCGTGCTGGGTAGGCAGACCGGCCGCACGTAGCTGGTCTCATTGATGTCTTCACTTAGCTCCACTACGCTGATGTCATAGTCCACCACTGCCCGACTGTAGCGCGGGTGCAGGATGATGGTCCTCACGAGGCGCGTCTGCATGAATGTCGAGGGGTGGTCTAGATTGTTGATGCCAAACACCACCTTCCAAACCGCGGCGTTCTCTCTCCTAAAATAACAATTCAAGAGCTATTGGCATCTTCAATTCTCCAGTGAGAAAACTCAGCTCCATTTGAGCAAAGATAGATAAGAAAGCCAAGGACTGGACCTTTGTTTTAGCTTGGGTTGGTATAACAAATGGCGGTAGCCTGGTAGCTTGAAGTTCAAGTATCTATTTCTCATAGTTCTGGAGGCCAGAATTCCAAGATCAGGATGCTACCTGATCAATCTGGTGAAGACCCTTTTCCTGGGTTAGTTGCCTGTCTTTTTGTTATATCCTCAAATGATGAAAAGAGAGCAAGCTTCCTTCCTTTTCTTATAAGGGCACTAATCCCATCGAGGAGGGGGTTCTACTTTCATAATCCAATTTACTTCCCAATGGCCCCACCTCCTAAAACCATTCTCTTGGGGGTTAGAGCTTCAACATATGAATTTGAGGGGGGATGTAAACCTATAGTTCATAAGACATCTGGAGCACTAAAATATTTAGTAGCCTATAAATGGAGAAAATAGAAAATAAAAATAAAAGGGTAGATCAGTGAAATAAGAGGAAAACAAGACATTTTTTGTTATTCTCAAAGAAAAATTTTTAAAAAGTATTTCAAGAAGGATGTAGTAACAAAATACTGGGGAGGATTCCAGTGAGTCAGAAGCTGAAAATTCCCCACTGGATATGGCAAGATGGACTTTGCCATACCCATTAAAGACTTTGAGCCCTGGATGGTGTGGCTCAGTTGGTTGAGCATCATCCTATAAACTGAAAGGTTGCAGGTTTGATTCCCAGTCAGGGCATATGCCTGGGTTATGGGTTCCATCTTAGTCAGGGCATGTGCAAGAGGCAACCCACTAATGTTTCTCTCTCACATTGATGTTTCTCTCCCTCACTTTCTCCCTTCCTTCCCCTCTCTCTGGAATCAATTAAAAAAATTTTAAAAAGACAATGATAACTGACATTTCTTGTAGTGGTGTTAATGGGAGCACATTGAAAGTAGGCTGCGGAGAAAATGAGGGGTGGGAATGTGAAGGCAGTGACTGCTGGAAACTGTTTCAGGACTTTGTGAACAGTAGCTGACAAGGAGCAGTAGTTGAAGAGGGATAAGGAGAAGGAGGTTTAAGTTATGACATTAAAGCATGCTTGCTGAAGGGAATGATCCATCAAGAAAAAGAAACTGATGATGCAAAGTAGGATTTAATGAGTAAAGTCAATGAAAAGATAAAAGAGGATATAGTTGTCTTTAAGTAAGATCAAGGACAAGCTCTAGGGAAAGCAGGAGATGCAGCCACAGATACAAGTAATTTGTTGGAACTGGGGTGAGGGTTAAAGATAGGAGGGTGTCTATCTTCTCCATGAAGTATGAGGTGAAATCAGTGGTGAGTAAAAGAGAAAAGAGATGTCAAATACTTGTCTCTGATGGTAGAAAAGTGTCTTTACTGTGAAAATATAGTGGAAGTGTCCCATATTATTAGATGCTCACTTGAGACTCATGATCCTACATTTGACACGAGCTTAGTTAGCAGTCGGGTGTGTGATATTCTTCAGCAATGGTCAGCTGCTCAGGGGCAGGTGCAGAGTACATGGACAGGTAGTCGCAAGACTATAAGAAACAAGTAACTATGAACATTGAAAAGAGAAGAACTCCCAGTTAAGGCAAACCCCAGAAACTCTGATTGGCCCATATTTTAGGCCAATGGCTGGCTAGGTCCTAGACTCAGATGTTTTCCACTGGAGAATGAAGGAAGACAGAGAATTCCTCCGTAAGGAGGTAGGACAGTGGTGAGGGTGGAGTCAGGTCAGAGTCACCAAGGGCCCTTTACCACCACACTGGCTTGCTCTCAAGTGACGCTAAAAAACAGCACTCCAGGGGAGGTATGGATACAAAATGGAGAACTCCTGTTTTTGTGGAGATTATTACTGATAGGATGGGTCAAACCCCTCTAGTAGGTAACATGGAAAAAAACCCAAAAATCAAAAACCAACTGTGAGTGACTGGCATAGTTCCTAAGCACCTAGAAGATAAAAAAGCAATCATGAGGGCACAACATGGGTTCAGTTCAAAAAGTCAGACCAAATGTCTACTTCCTTTTTCCAAGTATCAAAAGACATTGCATCAGGACAGGTCTGCCTGGTATGTATGGCAGGAAGATCTAGGAAGAAAGAAGTTGAAGGTCCTCGTGAGAGGACTGACCAGGGCACTTGGTCAGCTGCAGAGAGAAGCAAGATGAGGAGACTGATGGATGGAGAGAATGAGGAAAGAAGTGCAGACAAGCAACAAAAGTCTGGTGAGAGAAACCAAGACAAGGGTGATCTGGCAGCATCAGGGACTAGGGTCATATAGTACGATGATAGTGTTTTATACAGACTTCCAGGAGAGAAATTAGATGCTGCTGACAATTACTAGTTGTGTGCCAGCCTAGGAAATTCATCCCTACGCCTTTCAGGGGCAGAAGAAGGCAGGAGAATTGTTTGTTAAATTACCCTGAAAGGCAAAATCTTTCTTCATTACAACTGCCGAAGCTGAATCGTCATGAGGGCATTCAGAGCTTGATCTGATCAGCTCGGTAGCTCATGTTTTTAATTTTCACTTGGGATTTATAAATACTTCTCCATGGAAGAGCAAAACAAATTTGTCTTTTTTTTTCCATCAATATAATTAAAAGAGACAGGCTTGAGAAGACCTACAGATGGTTCGCACTGGCTTTCCCAAAGTACGGGATCAGGATATGAAGTAAATCCCATTAATTACAGCAATTGTTGGCTCCAGTGGAGAATAAAGCTTATAATTAGAAGTTCTCAAAATGCTTGCAGGGCCACTGGAGAGACTGTAAACTCGAATCAGAGTTATTAGCACACATTCAAATGAAGGCTTGTTTGAAGTTGGGCAATTTCTAGTTTCTTATGGATAAGCCAGGCCCCGCTTGACAGTTCTATGGAGCTTAGTGTTCCATAAAATTTCACCAAGGCCTTTGATATCTTATCCATTTCCTTAATTATAAACACATATTTCTCCTCTATTGCAAGGCTTAGTCTAAACTTCACAGATCTGTCTGCGAAAGAGGAAACTTGGACACCACACATGGAAATGACAAAAGTGGGGTATGAATCTGGATTAACTAGCATGTGAAGAATATGTTTCCCTTGAAGAACTGTTGGATTCATTGAGGTAATCATCTTTTGATGAATGTACTCTTACTAGTATAATCTCCTGCTTATCATAGAGTTATAAATCAGACCTGGAAAAGACATCTGGGAACATTTGGCTTCTTCTGAAGCACTAACATTGCAGTGTATTTCCTGACATACTACACAGACCCACCAAATTATTTGGGGTCTTACACATTAAATGTTCTCCAAAGGAAGTACTGGTTTGATGTTTTGTATTTTATTTCCCCCCAAAAAGCAATCAAATAATCAGATATACACACTTCCATTTTCTAATCACTTAAACACATTACAGTCTAATTATTTGTTTAAGTGCCTGTATCCTCATTAGGTTACCACTCCAAGGAAGGAAATGTGCACTCATCTTTCTAACACCCAAGGAAACTAAATATCCATGCGAGGACTCTGTCCCGCAGTGAGAAGAGCACCAGTGGGTGAGCAGCTTTGTGTAAGAAGATGTATTACAGTATTGTTAAAATGGCAGCAACCTGGGACTGACCTGAATGTCCATCAGCTGGAGAATACTAGAAGAAAATATGGTAAATCTATACTGCAGAATATCATTCAGCTTTGGAAAAGAATGGACTAGAGCTATGTCTGTTGACCTGGAGGGACGTCGGTGATCTGCTGCTAAAGGAGAAAGCCACCTTGCAAACAAAAGTACAGAGTGTGATTCCCAGTCGTAAAAGGCAACAAGGACACCTTGGGGAAAATGTATTTGTTTGTGGCTGTGGAGGAACATTCTCCAGGCTGCAGGAGGGGTGACCGAGAGGGCGATGAGAGTAGAGGTAGGTGTGAGAGAAGACAAAAACAGTGCGAGCAAAATGCGAAAACACTCGTGCCATCATGCTAATCATTCTACACATGGTTTTAGTGACTTTTTTTTAAGAGTTGACCTTTATCAAGATCCTGCATATCGGTACCAGGCATGGTTCTCAAGGCTTTACAGGGGCTCACTTTGGCCTGCACCAGCCCTGGGAGGTAGGGACTGCTGTTTCCCTCACTTCACAGAGGAGGAAACTGTGGCCCGGAGACGTTAATGAATTAAGCCATGGTCACACGGTCAGTGGCAAAATTGAGAAAAAAATAATGATAGGCAATAGGCAAAAAAGAAGATAAAATAAAATTGCATTTTTTTCCTAGACATTAATTAACCTAGTCAAATGAAAATAATCAATTAGGTGATAGAACTGTGAGTTATTGTATTTTACATTTTTGCTACTGTTTAATATGACTTTTAAATAAAGTAAAATTATTAAAAATAGAACAAATAAAATAGGTGGTGTGATGGTTATTTAAAAAATATCCTCAGATCCTTTGACACTCCTCCCTCGGAGGAGGGCGTTTTCTGTCCCTTCCCTTTGGATCTGGGTGGGGCTTGGAGGGCTCTGACCAACCACAGAGCAGAGGCGGTGCTGTGGGAGCCAGGGTCACCAAAGGACGCAGCGTCCTCCTGGCTCCCTGCCTGGGAAGCTCGCTCCGCGGGACGCCGGGCACCCTGCTGTGAGTCCCGAGGGCAGAGGAGCTAAGGCGTGGACCTCACGACTGCCGGGCCTGAGGTGGCTGCAGCCCTCACGCCGGAGCCTTCCCGCGGAGGCCCAGGCGTTGCCGAGCAGGGACAGACGGCACCAGCTCTGTTCTTCCAGGTGTCTGATCCCCAGAATCTTCTATGAGCATAAAAAATGTTTAGGGTTTCCTTCTTTGTTGTTATTGTTTTATTTGGGTTGGGGTTTTTTTTTCCTCTTTTTCTTTTGCTCCTAACTTGTGTAACAGATAGATGCAGGCCTTCTGCAGTGGTGGGTGTCAACTTGGGGTCAGTGTCCCCTTAGTCTTACTTTTCTGCTCCCTTTAGGCATATTGTTGTGCTTAATTTTCTGTGCTATCATGGTTGGACTACAGTGCCAAAATATCTGATCAAACATTATTCTGCATTTTCCTGTGAAAATGTATTATCACCAAGAAATGGAAAAAGCCCAAGTGTCCATCAGCATATGAGTGAATAAAACAACTAAGGGACACTTACAAAATGGAATACAGTAGTATATCTGGAAAAAAGAAGAAAATTTTATCCTTTGCAACACCTTGGATGGACCTGGAGAACATGATGCTAGGTGAGATACGCCAGTCAGAGAAAGACAAATAGCATATGATTTCATTCATATGTGGAATCTAATGAACAAATGGAACTCACAAGCACAACAGAGACAGACTCATAGATGGCCGAATGGCAGCGATGGGTAGGGGGGCCCGGGGATGGAGGGATAGAGCAAAAAGGAAAAAGGACTCATGGACACGGACAACAATGTGGTGATTGCAGCGGCATAAGTGGTAATGAAGAAAAACACAATTAAAAAAAAGATTAACATTTAAATCAGTGGACTTTGAGTAAAGCAGATGACCCTCCAGTATGTCGGTGGGCCGCGTCTTATAAATCGCAGACCTTCATAAAACAAAGCTGGACCTCCCCTGAACAAGAAGAAATCCGGCTAGCCAACTGCCTTTGGACTTGGACAGCAGTTCTCCCCTGTCTTCTGGCAGCCCCCCTTAGATTTGCCAGAGGGGACTCACCAAGACTTCACAATCATGTGAGCCAATTTCTTAAAATAAATCTCTCTCTCGTTGGTCTGTTTCTCTGGAGACCCCTGATACACATCGCACATTTAAGTCTGCTTCCAAATTCCTCACCAGTTCCTCTAGCACCGTAACCTCACTGTATAGTATCCTCTTGAGTAAATCACCTTGTCTAACTTCAGATGTATTTGATGTATTGAAAAAGGCTAGAAAAGAGACTAATGCTGGCTGGAGAGTCAGTCTGCTAAACTTCTTCCTATTCTTCCCTCTTTAGGATATAAATCATAAGCAAGATACATCCACTGCCAATAAATGAGCAGCACATATGCAGGCTGACAACGCCAAGGGGAGAAAAGTCTAAGCAGAAAAAAAGGCCCAGGAAGTAGTGGGTTGGCCAAAAAGTCCATTATGTTTTTTTCTGTAAAATGGCTCTAGTAGCACTTAGTTGTCTTTAACTTGTTTTGCTAGACTGTATTGTGACAGCTGTCATATCAGTGTGCGTTTAAAAAAAACTTAAATTGGTGAATTTGGGGGTAGCCATTTTAATGGTGAAGATGGAAGAAAATATACAACATTTTCAGTATATTATGCTTTATTATTTCAAGAAAGGTAGAAACACACCTGAAATGCAAAAAAAAAAAAGAGATATTTGTGCAGTGTATGGAGAAAGTGCTGTGACTTATCAAACATGTCAAAAGTGATTTGCGAAGTTTCTTGGTACTATTGATATTTTGGCCAAATAATCCTTTGCTGTGGGGCTGTCTTATGCATTGGAAGATGGTTAGCAGCATCCCGGCCTCTACCCACTAGAAGCCAATAGTGGGAGATAGCTGACATACTCAAAATGTCCAAATCAATAAAGTTATTGCTGAAAATGAAAAATATGTCCTTTATTTTATGGAAAAAGATGTAGCAGACTTTTTCACCAACCCAATAGATCATGGTGGATTTTGCACTGAGCTGGCTTCGGAGAATTACATGCCACTGAGAATTCCCACATGACAAAATGATCAGATCCAAGCAAAGCAAGAAAGAAAAGGTGCAGCTCACCCCTCGAAGCAGTGGGCGACTGTCAGAACCCACTTCTTGGCAATGAGCACACAGCCACAGATGTGCCCACTGGGCTCACTCTGCAGGGAACACTGCCAGGGCCACCTTCCGGGGCGACTCGTCCGACCCCCGAGGATCCTCTTGTTCATTCGGGCAGCAGGGCGGCGCCCACAGTCTACCAAAGACCAAGAAAGACATGTGTGACTCACCCCCAGACCCAACGTGGCTCTTTGCTGTCGTGTGCAAGTGATCATTTTTTCTGAGCCAACCTCCGTTAACTGAAGTTCATATCCCATCGGGACACCACTCATTCTCTCACCTTGTTTAGTGCACAGAAGGGAAATCTTACTTCTGCTGTGACAGGACTGCCTAGGATTGGAAACATGAAATGGTATAGCATTAAGTTACATATTCATAGTTCACTTCAAACACTACCAGTGGAAAGCAAGACATCAACTCTTACCTGAGGTCCGTTCTCAAGGCAGGGCTATTGTCAGAACCACCTTGGGGGTGAGGGTATATAAGGGTCTTTTCTTAGTTTACTTAGTATCATAATATATTTTCACATTTGTGAAAAGAGAAGCTATTGTTAGCAAAGTTCCACACTGTCATCTTGGCTGGTGGAACCACCCAAAGTATGAACTCAAACCATGATTTTCAAAGTAGGGGGAAGAAAAAGGCGGGAACTGGGTCACTTCTTAGAATCTACGGTGAGGGGGAACTATGTCGGATTTTTATGCTCATGGAGAGGTATGTATGTCCAAAAAAAGTTGAGAAATAGCTTTAAAGAAATAAAATATTACTTTAAAAAGTGAGAGAATGGATAAAAATACAATATTTAAATTGGAAAAGAATGTCGCCAAGACCTTTGGTATCAAAGTATGGAACCATGGTCAGCTGGCTGACAGGAAGAAGGGGGGATTCATTTATGCCAAGGAGCTATGAAGGGCAGGGTCAGAACTAAGGGGTGGGATTTATAGGAAGTGTGCGTTCAGGAAAGGAAGAACTTTCTAAACATTGGAGTTAACCTTGGAAAGCAAGAACATGGGCCATATTTAAGCATCTACCAAGGTGGCAAAACCAGAGAATTCGGTTTAGTTTTAATAACAAAGCTCTTTTCCAGCCATGAAGCATTTATTCCCAGTGTAAATTTAAAAGACAAAAAATATGTTGGGACTGTCAAATATACTGCGATGTGCTAAGAATCTTAGACTTCTCAGGAAAATAATACATATCCATATCCATATATATATTTCTATCCCTACACATAACATTTCTACATGCCTTTTTAAAGATTTACTGTATATTAATTTCTTGCTAAATCTGCATGAGGATCTGTGTAATTATTTGCATATAACAAATTATATAATAGAGAAAAAGCACATTTCCTTTTTGCCTTCTCACAACTTGAAGTTGTAACTTTTTTCTTTCTCTTTCTCTCCCGCACCCCTTAATTTCTTTGTAGCACTTCCAAATCTGAAATTCACTTTGTTTACTAGCTTATAGTCTCTCTGCCCCCTCACAAAATGCATGTTCCTTGAGATCAGGGTCCTTGTCCCCCTATTTCACTTCCACATCCCCTCAGAGCTTAGCACTGAACTTCGCATGGAAGAAATACTCAATAATTCATTGGTATTTGTTAGATACAAAATCATAGCTTGTAGGACTAGGAAAAGACACCAAAGAGATCCATTTCAACTATTTATTTTATAGAAGACTCTGGTTATATAAGACCACATTTCTAGCTAGTAAGCCAGGACTAGAGCCAGTTGTACCAACTCCCAATTTAGAATGAGATATTTTATTCACTGATTTGAACCAAATGAGCTTTTTCTGGCACTCCCAGTTTGGGGGAACAAATCTCTTTATTGAAAGATTCAGGTCATTGTTCTGAAGAAAGTACTCCAGTTGACAAATATTCAGAAATTTGGTTGCAGAGTTTGGTCTATGGGGGAAATGTCAAGACATTTTAAAAGAAAAATGGCCCACTTTGAGTTTTCTTCTTTGGCCTTCTTAAAAAGTGGCTTCTCTAGGGCTTTATAAAAACTTTGGAGTCAGATAAACCTGGTTTGAGTTGAGAGCCTATCCCTTACCATCTGTGGGTGTTGAGTTTTGAGCAAATTATTTATATATTCCCTGGCTATGTCCCTACAATGTAATAAATACAAAATAAACATTAATTCCTTCCATTTGTCTTTCTCCTATAGACAAGGGAGGCAGCCTTGTTTAAGAGGACATTATTTTTTAGAGAACATTGTCCACAGGTGTACTTTCAAGGCTACTTGATTCTCATTCCATTTCATGTCAATTTTTTTTCAGACCCTCCAAATTTTATCAGTTGTCATTACTTTAATTCTCTCTTTTACATATTTATATGTAGGTCATTAGGAAGTGCAAACATGAGAATTTATTTCAAATAGGAAGTGAAAAACTTCAAGATTAGAACCCAAGTTCTTCCTCCTTCACCGTGACAGTTTCTGTAAGCATCATTAAAGAAAAACATCATCAGACAAGAAGAAAAAAAAATCTATGTCTAGAAAGAAAAAAATAAAGCCAAACAATGTTGAAATACACAGGCCAGTAGCCATTTATGCTCTTTATGGATGGGACTGGTTTGGATTATCTCAGGTTAGAAACAGAAGAGGCCTGCAGGTGGATTCTCGCTCTACAACCTGCTCTACATCGCCTCTGTGGCATGTGTCTTACCCTTTTACCAGCAGTTCATGCAACGTGGTCCCATTGAGGATCTCCCAGTTCGAGGGTAACGTCAGCCACTCCTGATCTTGCCCCTGTTCCTGTATTAATTCAGTCACAGATGGTTCTCTAAAAAAGAGTAAATAAATGCCAGTTGAACAAAGCACAATGATCTTTGCCAGGCAATATCATTATTTGGCACTCATTCTCTTCCAAAAAGAAGCATTAAACTATCAATCAATGTTTCAAGAGGGGGATTTATATTTGAAATTCGGCGTGAAATGTGATCAGCAAGAGGGGAAGTTACTAAAAGAATACTGAAGCAAAAAAAAAACCCCAAATTATTACAGCTGTTTTAGTCATTCTCCTTGCTGACATGTATTTGAACTTTTGTGAGGTGGTAGAATTCTAACGTGTATGATGTAAAAATTCCAATATCTAAAAAACAAGAGCAACTTTAGGCAGGGGTCAAAAGTAAAATGCAATTTATCTGACTGATCTTTTTTCCTTCTCTTTTATTGCCCATTGTTATCCTGCAATGTAGCAATAACTTTAAATAAAAATAAATGATCATTTAGCATCTACTTAGACAGAATAAAATTGTAAATAGAAATTTTTCAACATACTGCAAAACCTTTATGCACTAAAAATTAGGGAAGACTCCGGAAAATGGAGACAAGTTAAACATTATTTTGTTCTTGACCTACATTCTCACACTTCTCCCACCAACACTCTCCTGAGAATGTCTCATTCAATCATTCAAAGAAAGATGGTTACACCGTACCCAAGATTTAAAACTTTAGGTTTCAAAAGTACTGAGGCTTTTCTGTAAAGTATCCTATTCTTCATGAAACAGTTGGTTTACTTAGGCAAGCCAAATTTGAAGAAAACCTTTTGGATTTTTATCCCCTGATTTAAAAACAAAAACAGTAGAAGAGATAAAGGAACTGGTTTTAGACAGAAGGAAGGGAAGCGCTTCTTCTGAATCTGGAAGGAAGCAGGAGAAAAGGAAGTGGGTGCTTTGTTGGAGTTGAAGAGGGAGAGAGAATTCAAGAGAATTCAAACCACATAAGCTCCACTCTTCCAGCAGGAGCTGAGCTCCTTGAATGAAGAGCGAGTAGCAGGGATGCACGATGAGGACACACGTGATATGTACATAGAAGTGTTCCCTGGTGGAATTTTTTTTAAAAGCACATCAGAGATAACTTGAAAGGATGGCAAGCAGCATTGAGGGCTCAAATGAACCTGAAAATCTTGAAGTTGTGGCAACATCGAGTATGCACGCTTAGTGACTTTCATGTTTGAATGTGAGGCGCCATTTTGTGCAAAAATAAAACGGGTGAGAGAGAGCACAAGAAAGGAAAAACGTTAGATCCAGTGGCATTGAAAGAAAATTGATAATTTCACACAATTATTAATCATTTAAAAACTGCTGTAATTGCATAATAGAAAAATAAAAAGAACAAAAGCCTCACCAAATCCTATTACTTTTAAAACAGGAAAAACCTTTTAAAGAGAACACTTGATGATAGAATAAGAGCCAAAGACTAAAAATAAAACAGTCCTTAGTAATGAATGACTTATAAATGACTTATACTCATTCGACTTTAAAACAAATGGCATACACCCTGACCACACTTTAAAAAAGAGTTGCAGAAGATTTAAACTTATTTAGAAATTTGGACGAACTGTTAGATTATTGAAGACTTCACCAAACCCACTGCAAAATGAGACTTTTTCTTTTCTTCCACCAAAGTGAGAGTCTGGCTTTCTACCAACCCCAGAAGCGCTGAGTGCGGAGGCACGGCAGGATGGGAAGTATAAAAGTCAGAGGCCTCACGTAACACTCACTCGTGGGGCTTCTCTGGATACTTGCATCCTGAGAATTCCTTTCTGCAACAGAACAACTGTAGCTGCCTGAATGCAAGTGTTTTGCTGGCAAAAAGCCAAAGGAAGATCAGCTTCAGGCTTGTTTAATCAGGTCATGCTGCAGGCAGGTATTCATAGAGCCACACGGGACTTACATAAGAAGGACAACTCAGCACAGGATTTACACTGACATTGCAAAGGATGCTTCAGTCCTTCAACTCGGAAGGCCTCCACTGTGCATTGCGCATGGGACGCTTTTACATTTCATTCCTTAGACTCCAGCTAGAAAGGCAATTTTGCCTGAATCTCTTAGTTACATCAAGTGGAAAAATCTAAGAAATTCATCATCAAGAAGAGGGGAGAATCATTATAAAAATTAGTTTTCCATGAAATCCTTAAACACTACCATGCTTCTCATGCACAAAAATAAATCTTTCCACTCTAAAAAGTCATCCTATTGCCCATTAAAAAAAAAAAAAAATCAGTGAATCCATATGGTTCTATTTCTGCCATCATACATTATCTGGACATCTGTGTGATTTTAATTTTTCTTGTTTTTTTTCTTTTAAGTAATTTTACAATTATAAAAGTCATACTTATACACAGATAAAATACACAATGACAAAATATTCTTTCCATCCCAGATATATGGAAAAAACCACTGAAAATAGTGTTTGAGTATCTTTGTCAAGCTTTTTCTATAATTAATGTATGTTATACTCTATTTTTAGTCTATACACATTGTTCTGTGTGGTGTTGATGATGTTTTCATTTAATGATTTGTCTTGGAATTCTTTCCATAACAGTAACATTTGTTAACTATTTTCAATATGCCAAGCACTAATAGACTAACTCATTTTATCTTATTTAATCTTCTAAACAATTTTGTGAAGTTTGCTTGATTATTATTCCCCATTTTGGAGATGGAAAAATTGAGGCACAGAGAATAGATAACTTGCCCAAGGTCACACAACAAGTAAAAGCTGGGGGGCTATCTGCTCCCTGGGGTCTGATGTCAGGTTACCACACTCAACCCCTTCAAAGCTACGTGGCTCGCCTTCATTAACAGCACATGCTGTGTTCTTTCTACAGCTGCATAGTGTTCCCTTATATGGATGTGCATTCATAACTTAACCAACCCACTACTGATGCGTATGTGGGTTGTTTCCAATTTCTGGCTATACTAACAAAAAAGCAGCAGTTAACACCCTTAGCCATTCACCTTTGCCTACACGCACTAGTATGATTTTAGAATGGTTCCTAGAAATAAAATTATTCAATCAAAATCGAAATATTTGACTAACTCTATGTACAGAGTCCAGGGGAAGTAATGCCTGCTTGAGTGTGGTTGGTAGGATAATAATATGGGCATAGTAATTTATAGTTTTAATTTGAACATATCACCTAAAATATCATAGGGTGTGCCTGAGTGTGAAATTGTTATGTTATAGAATTACATGCTTATGATTTTGTACTAAAAGATTTTTTAGTGACGGACTCTGTATTTCTCCTTCAAAGAGTAATGCCAATTTACATATTCACCAAGAATATGTGCGCCTGCATTTTTTAATTTGTATTACATGTATCAAATATAAATCATGCTATTAAAAGGGAAAGAACTCATGACACGGACAACAGTGTGGTGACTGTGGAAAGAGCGGGGAGGGAGGTGGTGGAAGAGGGCATGGGGAATAGAAATGACGGTGGGGAAAAAATTTTAAAAAATTTTTTAGAAAGAGGTATCCAGAACTTAAAAGCTGCTCAAATTTTGTGTGGCAGTTGGTAATTCATTTGACTTAACACCATTTTCCATATTATATCAAAGAGACAAATGAGAGAAACCCTGTTGAGTAGAGAGCAAAAAAATATTTTGCCAGCGCTTAAACATCAGAGTCATTATACCCAAAGAGAGTCTGTGCAGGGAATGTAGTCAGACCTAAATGCTTCTATTGTAGCCATGAACTCATATACAGAAAAGGAAATTTAAGTGACAATCTAATCCAATGCCCTCGTCTGACAGCCTGAGAAAACTAGGACACTGGTATAGACCCATCTCAAACACTTGTGGGCCTAGATCGAGAGTAAAAATGGAGGTCCACAGACCACATGGCTACATACTTAGATGTTACAAATCAAGTTAACAAGCTATTAAAGAAAATGTATTCTATCTTCCCATTTTGACAAACAAATTTCTTTAGGTTTATACATAGAATTCTTGGACTCCTTGGAAGAGTGGTTTTCAAACCTTAGCATTTATAGAGCTACCTGAAGGACCTGCTAGAATGAAGCCTGTTGGCCCAATCCCCAGTCTGCCTGCTTCAGCAGCTCTGAGATGCAGCCCAAAGTTGCCTTTCTAACAAGGTCCCGGGTGCTGCTGCTGCTGGTGGTCTGGGACCTCACTTTGAAAACCATGCTCTAGAACAGGACTCAGGCTCTATAGGTGGGCATAACGCCTTGGCTGACAAACTTCTTGCCCCCTAAGTAGTCCCCCTAAATCAGGGCTTCTCACCTTTGGCACTGCTGGCATTTTATACCAGACAGTTGTTTGCTGTGTGGGGCTGTCCTGTGCACTGCAGGATGTGTAGCCTGATCCCTGGCTTCTCAATCCCATTGGTCAAATATGATTCCAGGAACTCCTTTACAAGGGTGGGCTTACACAGCAGGGGCACGAGGCGGGAAGCTTGGCTGCCTGGGCTGTGCCTTTTGACTGACATACTGCACGCATGAGAGGCCACATAAACAGTGGCTGCCAGACTTGGATTATGAATTTGGGCCTGAGGAGCCACAAGGAGCCCTTCTTAGCAGGTACATTCTTTCTCAGGGAACGCAGTAATAAGGTTAATGTGTTATAAAGTATAGCAGACTAGTGGAGAGGGCTAGGAAATTGGGTGAGGGAGGGAGGCAGGGGCCAGATTATGCAGTCTTACATGCCAGAGTTAAGAAATTGGCTTTTGAGTCCAAACTGTGTGAATAATAAGAAAAGGCCAGGAGACTTGCTGTGTATATGTCATTGCCAACTATCAGTCCTATCTTGTAGGTGAAAGAAAGCCAAATTGCAGATTGCAAAGACAGCATGACGAACATATCAGATTAGAAGTTAAGTCATCACCAGGAATTTCCTAGTATAGGTCCAAAATGAAGCTTCCACCATATAAGGACTTCTAACAGAAGTAACACAGGCCTCTTTGGGCAATTCCTGATGGATGCTCAAGCAATAAATCACGTTCTTATCTTCCCAGGACCCATTCATATCCACATCT